TCTATGAAAAAGAGAGATGGGCATTCTGGATGTTGAGGAGATTAGAGCCCAAAAGATTGACAGGGGCCCCAGGGCATATAAGAATTGCGGTTGCAAGCGCCGGCGCCGGCCCGGCGGAGCGTAGAGAGGGCGCCGGGTCCCGGAAGGCGAGGACCCCCTGCCGCCGCCCGCCCCCGAGCCCGCCTCCCCCAGCGCGAAGGCCGGCGGCCGCGCCCCTCAGCCCGGCGTGGAGCGTGCCAGAGACCCAGGTGGGACTGGAGCCCCAGCGGGAGCCGGGCCTGCAGGGAGCAGCGAGCGCGGCCTCAGACAAAGGGGCCGGCGGGGCCGAAGCGGCGCGGACCTCCAGTCCCCGCAGAGGAAGCACAAGTGCCACTACGCGGACTGCGAGAAAGTTTACGGGAAATCCTCGCACGTCAAGGCGCACCTGAGAACTCACACCGGTGAGAGGCCCTTCGTCCCCAGCTGACAGGAAGAATTTCGCTCGCTGCCACCAGGGGGCCCGGCCCTACCGCGTGAACTTCCCGCGAGGGGAAGTTCCGCTGCCCCGTCTGCCCGAAGCGCATGCGCAGCGACCCCCTAGAAAGCGCGCGCGCCGCCACGTCAGCTTCCATCCGGGCGTGCTGCAGCGGCGCGGCGGCGGCTCGGGACCCGCTCCTTCAGCGACTACAGCCGCTCCGACGGCGGCAGCCCCACCATCACCCCGGCCAGCTCGCCCTGAGCCCGCCACAGCCACGAGCAGCCGCTCCCGCCCCCTCGTGAGTCCCTGGCCTTTCCTTTTGTAATAAGAAAGAAGAGAGAGCACTCGATGCAAACTCCACGAAAAAAGAATTTTCTTCACCTCAGGTGTCAAAGTAAATTTGTCTTAAAAAAAAAAAAATTCAAAAAACATCACCCACCAATTGCACAATAGACCCACAAAGTTGAGATTCGGCGGTGTTGAAGCCCCTTTCTCGGGGATGGACACGTTCCACGAGGTCAGTGAGGACACCCCTTCCTGCCCCGCCTTACTCTGTACATAGACTGGCACTCTGGCGTTTTCCGTTAGGTTCGGGAACACCCTGGGGACAGAGCAGGCCGGCCCGTCTGGAGCTCAGCGTCTGGCTGGCTGGCCAGCCTGTGGGTCTGTTGCGGGCAGACGTGGTCGCCGACGTTTGTGCTTCCAGGGCAGATTCCTAAGCGGTGGGCCGGAGCTCTCCCTGCGCGCCCCACCCAGCCTCTGGCCTCTGCCCCACGGGCCTGGCCGGACTTGCAGCGCGGCTGATTCTGAGGGACAGGCCCCTGCAAAGGGCAGCCTTAAAGCTGTGCCGGGCCGGAGGAGCACGCCACCGCAATGGCTGTGGCGTGGGCTCTCAGCCCTCCGCGCCCTGCCTGCCTCCCCGCCTAGGGCTCCTGGGAGCACCGGAAGCAGAGGTGCGATCCCTGGCTGAGCGCGACGCTGCACCATCCGGCCTGCTCTGAGGCAGGAGTCGGGTCACACCTGCCGGGACTCCACTTCTTTGTGTCCCTATGGAAGGCACGCGGGACCCCGTCACTCTCATACCTGGGCCTCCGACGAGGAATTCTGGGCTTCTAAAAACATGTCAGAAATTCCTGGTGGCACATCCAGTTCCGGAGTCCTCCCCCTTTGTTGGAAACGGTGGGCCGGTCCTGGGCCTCCTCATTGGAGGGTCTGTGTGCGCGGCTGTGCATGTGGCGGTGCACCGAGCTTCACAGAGAACATTCGGTAGCAAGAGACCGGAACGTTGTGTCTCGGACCTTTTCAGGAGAGGCGCGGATGCTACAGGAAATGCTGTCAGAGAGCGGGCATTTTGCTTCCTCCCCAGGGACCGCCAGATGGAAGCTTGTGGGAGACGCGTTTCTCAGACCCACCGCATCCCCAACTCAGACTTAGCAAACGTCCAGCCTCTCCGTGTCCCCTGGACTCTTCCTCCCTTTTCCTCCTGCTTCTCCCTGCTCTGCCCGAAGGCCCCAGGCCACACCCAGGTGGTGTGGCTGCCCTTGCGCCTCATCGCCGGCCTTCTCCTGGCAGGCGAAAAGGAGCGAAGAGCCGGGGCCTGGGTTTGAGCCCTGGGCAGGTCAGTCAAGCTGTGGTCCAGCAAGCTCCTCTGCAGATGGCTGGAGTGTTGACCGCAGGCTTGTGGCCCGGGTACCGCCCTCCCTTCTTCCTGAGAGTTGGGGCCTGTAAATGCAAGGGCCCAGGACAGAGTCTGTGTGCGTGCATGTGTGTGCGTGCATGTGCGCATCTGTGCGTGTGCGCGCGTGTGTGCGTGCGCGTGTGTATGTGTGCGCATGCACACACGCATGTGTGTTGGGGGGTGGGGGGATTGGGATGGACTCAGGATATCTTGCCAGAGATACTTTTTTTTTTTTCTTTTTTTTTTGAGACGGAGTTTTGCTCTTGTTACCCAGGCTGGGGTGCAACGGCGAGACCTCAGCTCACCGCAACCTCCGCCCCCTGGGTTCAAGCAATTCTCCTGCCTCAGCCTCCCGAGTAGCTGGGACAAAGTGAATTAAAGACTTAAACATAAAATCCAAAACTATAATACTACTAGAAAAAAAAATAGGTAAAACACTTCAAGACACCAATGTAGGCAAAGATTTCATGGCCAAAAGCCTCAAAAGCACAGACAACTGCAATACAAATAGACAAATGGGACTATATTAAACTAAAAAGCTGCACATCGAAGGAAACAATCAACAGAGTGAAAAGACAACCTATTGAATGGGAGAAAAGATTTGCAAACCATATATCTGATAAGATGTTAATATCCAAAAAACAAAAATAAACAATAAAGAAACAAAACAGGCCAGGTGCAGTGGCTCATGCCTGTAAATGTCAGCACTTTGGGAGGCCAAGGCAGGAGGATCGCTTGAGCTCAGATGCTTAAGACTACTCTGGACAACATAGTGAGATCTCATCTCTACACAAAAATTTAAAATTAGCTGGGCAAGGCCAGGCACAGTGGCTCAAGCCTGTAATCCCAGCACTTTGGGAGGCCGAGGCGGGCGGATCACAGGGTCAAGAGATCGAGACCATCCTGGTCAACATGGTGAAACCCCGTCTCTACTAAAAATAAAATAAAAAAAAATTAGCTGGACATGGTGGCGCGTGCCTGTAATCCCAGCTACTCAGGAGGCTGAGACAGGAGAATTGCCTGAACCCAGGAGGCGGAGGTTGCGGTGAGCCGAGATCGCGCCATTGCACTCCAGCCTGGGTAACAAGAGTGAAACTCCGTCTCAAAAAAAAAAGAAAAGAAAAGAAAAGAAAAGCAGAGAAAAAATTAGCTGGGCATGGTGGTATGTGCCTGTGGTTCCAGCCACTTAGAAAGTTGTGGTGAGAGGATCACTTCTGCTCAGGTGGTCAAGGTTGCAGTGAGCCATTATCTCGCCACTGCACTCCAGCCTGGGCAACAGAGTGAGAAGAATAAGAAGGAGGAGGAAGAGGAGGAGGAGAAGGAGGGAGAGAAGGGGGAGACAGAGTGGGGGGAGGGGAGGGAGAGGGAAAGAAGGAGGAGAAGGAGAAGGAGAAGAAGGGGGGAAGATGGGGAGGGGAGGAGGAGAAGAAGAAGGAGGAGAACTGGGGAAGAGGAGGGAAGGAGGGGAGGGGAGGTGGGAAAGGATGGGGGGAGGAGAAAAAGAAGAAGAGGCAGCAATATATTGGTGTTCATTAATGAAAACTGTTCTTTCAACTTTTCTGTGGGCTTGATACTTTTTTTTCTTGTTTTAAAATATATTTTGAAGCACTGTGGTTTTTTTGTTTTTTTTTGTTTAAAAACTGGGATACCTGTGCAGAACGGGCAGGTTTGTTACATAGGTGGTTTGCTGCATCTATTGACCCATTCTCTAAGTTCCCTTCCCTCATCCCCCACCTCACAACAAGCCCGAGTGTGTGTTGTTCCCCACTCAGTGTCCATGTGTTCTCATTGTTCAACTCCCACTTATGAGTGAGAACATGCGGTGTTTGGTTTTCTATTCCTGTGTTAGGTTGCTGAGGATGATGGCTTCCAGCTTCATCCATGTCCCTGCAAGGACATGATCTCATTTCTTTTTATGGCTGCATAATATTCCATATTTTTCAAAAAATATATATTTGCTCTCAACAGAAGATTTTATACTAAAATCTGTATTTGCAGTTTTTACTGAAAAGATCCTAAGGCCTGGCCTTATCAGGCTCATTTTCTCAAATAGCAACATTTAGCTGAATTGAATAGACAGAGAATATGCCTTCCAGTCAGATTGTATCTGGCCCACTTTCCTCGTTTATGTTACACTCCTCACTCCTGTAGCCATTTGCATTTGTGACTCTTGGTTTAGAAAGTTTTCAGTGAACCATGCTGGAAACGCCCCTAAACACAAGACCTAAAGATGGTCTGTTATGTCATCTTCCAGGCACACAGTGGGAGAAAAAAATGATACCTACTAAGTACTCTATTACTGCCACAGCTTCTATAATTACTACATTTCTTGTGCCCTAGGTTAATATCTAAAAATAGCTTTATGCTTTCTCCAACACGTTTCACCAGCTCCCTCTGCAGATCCAATCTGAAGGATAAAACAGCTTAAATTCCTTGTAAGTCCTGAACTTTAAAATCATATTTCTGGAGTTGGAGAACTCCAGACATGAAAGAACTTGATGAGGTAGTGGACATCTAAATTACTTTCTCCTTTGGACAGCTCCTATGGTAATTCAAGCAGGAGTCAAGTTGTAGAAGTTTGTTTCCAAAAGTAGAACTGTTTCACTGAGAAAAGCTGTGATTTGAGGTGATTTGGCGCCCTCTACAGACTACAATGGCAAGAGTGATGCTATCATTTGCTTCCCATAAGTTTTAGGGGTTTGCCGAAACTGTGACGTTGAAGAGGGTGGGGGAAAGGGGCAGGAATGGTTTACGTTCTGCCAATCCAACAGCTGTATTCTAATTCAACATTTGGCCCTCCCTTAAGATCAGGGAAGTATCACGCTTGCCTCCTACACAACTTTTTTTTCCTTGTGCTTTCTGTTGTTAACCAGCATAACAGGAAAGACGAGCAGCTTTTGTTTTAAACTGAGGGCACTTTTATCGAAGTCCTCATTCGGTTTATTTTTCTTTTAGAATAAAGGATTTGAGTTTTAAGCCTTAAAAAAAGGACACACACTCTCCTTGCCTGTTTGACTTTGAGAATAATTTAAGTCAAAGAATCTGCTCTATGCTAACCAAGGTAAGTGTCCTGGATTTTTTTTTTTTTTTTTTTTTAATGGGGAAGTGATCCAGAAACTGCTTTCTCACAGGATGAATGTTCTCCTTGGAATGTGTGTTCCTAAAGAATGAATGTGATTGTCTTCTTTTGGGGTATCGTGACTAAGGTTAAAGCAAGAGAATTAAGGAGAATGTCAGGAAGCAAAGGGAAGTTGTAAGGAAGCAAAGTTATGTTGTTGATAGAATCATCCAAAAGAAAGGTGTCAGTGAGATAAACAGAGTCATGCGACTTTCAGTGACTCTAGGCTCACCTCTGATTGAGATGGAAATGTCAGCCATTGGAAAACACAAAATACCCCACAGACGGTGTGAAAGGAAATTCTGTAACAAAGTAAGAGCATGGTAGGGTGATGATAAGAAACATAAAATGATCAAATTCCAAATTTGAAGAAATCATAATTGATTACATAATTTGCAAATCACCCAAGTCTTTCCATGTCTCATAAAGGATTCCTACATTAGCTGGTCAGTCAGGGATGGGGTGGGGTTTTCCCATTGTACAAAGATCTAGTTCAATAGATCAGGCTCCTTTCTGCCAAGGGACTAAATACACACAACCTGTGGCCTGAATGGTGGCTAACGCCTGTAATCCCAGCACTTTAGGGAGCTAAGGCAGGCAGATCACTTGAGGTCAGGAGTTCCAGACCAGCCTGACCAACATGGTGAAACCCCATCTCTACTAAAAATACAAAAGTTAGCCAGGCATGGTGGCGCATGCCTGTAGTCTCAGCTACTCAGGAGGCTGAGGCAGGAGAATCACTTGAACCTGGGAGGCAGAGGTTGCAGTGAGGGGAGATTGTGCCACTGCACTCTAGCCTGGAAGAGAGTGAGACCCCATCTCAAATAAATAAATAAATATAAGCAACCTTTGAGCAATCAAGTACCTTATAAAGTTCACTTTATAGTTTACAGAGTTTGCATACACATGTTCTCCCAGTCCTTCAAGCCTGCAGTATTCTGGCCTACCTTTGAATTCATATCTTTGTTGTTGGTTTTTGTTTTGTTTTGTTTTGGTACCAATTACTTGGTTTTCAGACATAAGAACAGTTTTTTCAAGCTAGAAGGAAACAAAGAGAAAGCCACTTGAACCCTCTGTTTTACAAATGTGGAAGTACTGGCTCAGAGAAATCAAGAATTTTGTCCAGGGTTACAAGCTGGTTAGAGGCAGAAGCAGAACTAGAACTCAGATTTCTCAATTTCCAGTTCACTCACTACCTTCCTTTACTGACTTAAGGCAAAATTTAAAATGGTTGTTCCCATTCAGAAATGTACAGTCTGTAAATATGGATTAATTTTAAAAGGTGCAAATTCCCAATTTGTTTCCACTGCCTGTAAAGTCTCTAAATCAGTCCTTAAAGTGTTTTTGCCCAGCAGCTAGTTAACCCAGAGCCCACTCTGTGTCACTAACTAGGTCTCTGGGCAGCGATAAACAGGCCAGGAGAATGCAAGTATTCGTGCCTAGAGCATACTTAGGCTTAGGACTTAGCACAAGGTAACATCAGCCTCTCCATATACAACATCTTAAGAGCAGTCACTGTCTTTTATTATTATTATTATTATTTCTAAGACTTTACCACTATTTCTTAGTGTCAGGGTCTTCATCATCTTCAGGGCCCCACACTTGGCTCAGTACCAGCCAAGTAGCTACACTTAGAAGTACCTAGGGCATATTTGTTGAATGAATTAATTTGCTGCCAGTCTATTCACATCAGTACATTCTTCACTTCGGCAATTCAGTTAGCAGCCATTTCTTATGTTATTATTGCAGAGATAGAGCACAGCAGAGATCTTCCAGCCCCAGGCCTCTACCTAGTGGCCTGGAAATTCAAGTGTTCTTATTGGTGGTGGCCATTTATTTCTGGTTAGAAGCTACCCAAACCTCCTACTCCTCAATTCAAAGGAAATCGCCTGCTCCTTTCCAAACTTGTTGATAAATTTTATCTGTGTGAACTGTCCTTTCTAAGGAGAAGAGAAGGAAGAAAGGAGACATGTAGGGAGGTAGAGAATGAATACTGAGTAAATATTTGTGCAAGGCACTTTTTTATGTAAGTAATATCATATTTTCTAAAACCCAAGCAATCCTTCAACACTGATATTTTTCTTATTTTACAAATAATATATCTAAGCGTGTTTCAGTAGGTTGCTCAGGGTCATATGGCTAGTTGGTATCTGAGAAAGTTCCAGCCCAATTCTGCTGTCTCCAAAATCCATTTTCATTGCATCCCATATAGCTCTCCCAACTAAATAGGGACTCCCAAATAAAAAATCTAAGAGGAAAAATGATACATTTTGTAATAGATAATGAAGCCAAGTATGGCAATCTCAGCCTCACAAAGGGCAAAGTAGCAAATTGACATTTGGAAATTGACAGCCCTAGGAAATTGCAAGTTCATGAGTCTGCCTTCATGAGAAGTCTGAGGGTTTCTGGAGGACTCAGGAGTCTTTCTTTACTCCCTGAAGTCAGTGAATTCACTTTGATTCTGTGCCTGGGGCTTCTGATCTGATTAAGAGGCAAGCTACAAAGCCACAGAGAAAAACTTCTCCAGGTCCATCCCAAAGGTGCAGCCGTAAACGTGAGCAAAGACGAAGAGAGGCTTAGTGAGGGGAACCACGGGGTTCCTCAGGCTCTCAGAGGAACAGCAGGTTCACATCTTGGCATCAGATCCTGAAATATCCTGCAAACTCTGCCTCTTATTAGCAGTGTAGCCTTAAGTTGTTTCAAATGAGTATGCTAATTTCCTATTTACTGGTCCTAATAGCTCAAAAAATATACGCTCTCTTGGTTACCCAAGGCAAATATCACTGTGATAGTGACTTGAGACTGCAGAAATCATACAGGAATAGATCTCTCCTCAAAAAAATACTGTATCTTCAAAGGCAAAGTGAAATGAGTTACATAGATTTCGTAAAACAGCAGAATACTTGGAGGTCTCAACTAATGTTTGTGTGTCATCTGAAATGGCCAAGGGGGTTGCAGGGGAAAACAGTGCTTGCAGCTAAGTCTACATGACATATTAAGGGCCTCAGTGTGACATAAACTTTGCTTACTAGAATTAAACTCAGCTTATCTGATTGAGACAAAAGCAATGTGAGATGTGCAGAAGCCTAAACAATAAAATCCAGAAAAGCTGGTAAAAACTGGTCCTCTATCCCCATGCGTATGTATGTGTATATCTCCCCCAGTTCCTGCTGACAAGCATGAGCATCCCCATTTCTATCTGACATGGTCTTGGGCTCCAGAATACCCCTTATGACGTTCCTTGAGGACTTTGTTTTCTATTATGGTCAGTCTTGCCTCTCTGCAAGGTTAAGAACCTCCCCTCAACCCATGTAATATCCTTGTTGTATGGCAAGGCATGGCCTTGACCAGCTATTCTTCAGGACTCTAAATGCTTTGAATAAAAACCAACATTTCGGCCGGGCGTGGTGGCTCACGCCTGTAATCCCAGCACTTTGGGAGGCCGAGGTGGGCGGATCACGAGGTCAAGAGATCAAGACCATCCTGGTCAACATGATGAAACCCCATCTCTACTAAAAATACAAAAATTAGTTGGGCGTGGTGGCGCATGCCTGTAGTCCCAGCTACTCGGGAAGCTGAGGCAGGAGAATTGCTTGAACCCAGGAGGTGAAGGCTGCAGCAAGCCAAGATCGCGCCACTGCACTCCAGCCTGGCTCCTGGCAACGGAGCGAGACTCTGTCTCCAAAAAAAAAAAAAAAAAAAAAAACTAACATTTCTACTGACTGAAATTCCTAGGATTCAGAGGCACAAAGTGATAGCAAAGAGTCCCTTTGATACTGAGAGATTCTAACATCCCAACAGGATAAAAGTACTGTCTACACTCTCTAATAGTAATACTACAGATTGAGTATCCCTTATCCAAAATACTTGGTACCAGGCAGGGCATGCTGGTTCATGTCTGTAATCCCAGCACTTTGGAAGGTCGAAGCCAGTGGATCACCTGAGGTCAGGAGTTCGAGAACAGCCTGCCCAATATGGTGAAACCCAATGTCTACCAAAAATACAAAAATTAGCCAGGTGTGGTGACGAGCACCTGTAATCCCAGCTACTTGAGATGGGGGCTAGGGCACAAGAATCTCTTGAACCTAGGAGGCAGAGGTTGTAGAGGGCTGAGATTTGAGATTGTGCCACTGAATTCCAGCCTGAGTGACAGAGCAAGACTCTGTCTCAAAAAAACAAAACAAAACAAAACAAAACTTGGGATGAAAAATGTTTCAGTAGGCTGAACATGATGGCTCACTTCTATAATTCTAGCACTTTGGGAGGCCAAGGCAGGAGGATCACTTGAGCCCAGGAGTTCTAGACCAGTCTGGGCAATATGGTGAGACCACATTTCTATAAAAATAATTTTAATTAAAATAAAAAATAAATGTTTCGGATTTCAAGTCTTTTCAGATTTTGGAAAATTTTCATTATACTTACTGGTTGAATATGTCAAATCTAAAATCTGAAATGCTCTAGTGAGCATTTATTTTGAGTTTCATGTACGTATTCAAAAAGTTTTAGATTTTGGAGTATTTCAAATTTTGGATTTGAGGATTTGGGCTGTTCGACCCATAATAGCTAAATTTAGTTGAGCACTTACTATATAGTAGATACACTTCTAAAACCATTCCAACTTTTATCAGTCATTTCATCTTCATAACAACACTTTAAAGTCATCATTATTATTACTTTATTTGTTTGTTGTTGTTTTTTTTTTTTTTTTTTTTTTGAGACGGAGTTTCGCTCTTGTTACCCAGGCTGGAGTGCAATGGCGCAATCTCGGCTCACCGCAACCTCCACCTCCTGGGTTCAGGCAATTCTCCTGCCTCAGCCTCCTGAGTAGCTGGGATTACAGGCACCCGCCACCATGCCCAGCTAATTTTTTGTATTTTTAGTAGAGACAGGGTTTCACCATGTTGACCAGGATGGTCTCGATCTCTTGACCTCGTGATCCACCCGCCTCGGCCTCCCAAAGTGCTGGGATTACAGGCTTGAGCCACCGCGCCCGGCTATTATTACTTTAAAACGGAAGTTTCCTGACCCCTCAAAGAACTTGCTACAGGGGTGTGGCTTGTTTGCATGCTCAAACCCCTTATGGGAGGGGGAGCATGCAGACAGGCAGGTACAGGAGCCAGGGCAAGTGCTTTTGGGCTCCGGCCCCACAGTAGCATCTAGAGGTATGTTAAAATTAATGTTCTTGGCCAGGCATGGTGGTTCACACCTGTAATCCCAACACTTTGGGAGGCTGAGGCAGGTGGATCATGAGGTCAGGAGTTCGAGATCAGTCTGACCAACATGGTAAAACCCCATCTCTACTAAAAATACAAACATTAGCTGGGTTTGGTGGCATATGCCTGTAATCCCAGATACTCGGGAGGCTGAGGCAGGAGAATCACTGGAACTCAGGAGGCAGAGGTTGCAGTGAGCTGAGATCACACCACTGCACTCCAACCTGGGCAACAGAGTGAGACTCTATCTCAAAAAGAAACAAAAAATTAATGCTCTTTTAGCAGTTGCTGTTTACAGACAGCTAAGTATTAACCAGCTCAGTGGAGATTCAGGTGACAGCCTTTTACACCCTGCCCTCTTGGTACCTAGGCCCTTGTCCAAAGTCCAGAAAGAATCAGGTCACATGGACTTGAAGGATGGTGAATGCAGGAATGTTATTGAGTGGTGGAGGTGGCTTTCAGCTGGATAGATGGGGAGCTGGAAAGGAGATGGAATGGGAGATCTTCCCCTGGAGTTTGGCCATCCTGGGCTGATCTCCTTTCCAACCATCCCCAGCTAAACTCCTCTCAACATTAAACAGTCCTCTCCTTCTGTGCCATGCCACTCTGTTCTGCCAGTGGAACTTGGGGTTTATATGGGAACAGGATAGGTACATGGCAGACAAGAGTGGTCTTGGAAAAGGCAACATTTGGATGCAAAACAGGAATACCTGTTCCCATTTAGGGCTGTGGGTTTCCAGGCTTGAGGGTGGGGCCTTTGTCAGGGAACTGCCCTCTTCTACCCAGTATTTCCTTGCCACCTATCCATATCACTATTACTACCATTCACATTTTACAGATGAGGAAACTGAGGCATAGACAAGATAGTTAGCCCAAGATCACACAGTTAATAAGTGTTGAAGCCAAGACTAAATCAAAACAGTCTGATTTCAGAGCCTACATTTTTAAGCAGCATGTGATTCTGCCCCAACTCAAAGATGAAAGAAGGGCATATATATCACTCTAAAAGTTGAGCCTTGGCCGGGCGCGGTGGCTCAAGCCTGTAATCCCAGCACTTTGGGAGGCTGAGGCGGGTGGATCACGAGGTCGAAAGATCGAGACCATCCTGGTCAACATGGTGAAACCCCGTCTCTACTAAAAATACAATAAAACTAGCTGGGTGTGGTGGCGCGTGCCTGTAATCCCAGCTACTTAGGAGGCTGAGGCAGGAGAATTGCCTGAACCGAGGGGGTGGAGGTTGTGGTGAGCCGAGATCGCGCCATTGCACTCCAGCCTGGGTAACAAGAGTGAAACTCCATCTCAAAAAAAAAAAAAAAAGTTGAGCCTTGTGGCGAGGGCTCCCTTCCAACCTTGTTAAATAAAGAAACTCTGCTTGACATTCCTCTAACAGAGCCTACCATGGCCAAGAAAGTTGCAGTGATTGGAGCTGGTGTGAGTGGCCTCTCCTCCATCAAATGCTGTTTGGATGAGGATCTAGAGCCCACCTGCTTTGAGAGAAGTAATGACATCGGGGGACTATGGAAGTTTACTGTACGTGGTTCACATCCTCTCATCTCTATCAATCATGATCTGGCCATTTGCTTTGTCTTTGCTCAGACATGGTGGCTTTAGCCTGCCTTGGTGATCAAGTAAAGGAGTGACTCACTGCGACAACACAAACATGTGCATAATGCAGTGTTAAACACTAGGCAGGATGCGGTCTGTTTGGTGAGAATCTTGAGAATATGCAGACTCGGGTCAGGGACAGTTGGAAGAGAGGAAAAAAGAGTTAAATCTGATAGGTAAGCATAGTATTGGACACTTACTATGATTTCTGGACTGTGGACATTCTAAGACAGAGTAGCAGTGTCACATCAGGCAAACTGAATAGCTTTGCTCAATATAAAACAGATTACACTCCAGGGAGAATGGAAGTTGACAACAGGGAGTGGAATCACAACACCCAGACATTGCTCAGGTCTTTGGGAACAGAACTGGCAAGAATGAGTCAGGACCCCAGACCTTGGAAGGTCTTGGGGAAGGGATAGTTTTTGCTGTCACATTTTCAGAATAGAAAGAACTCAGGCACTAAACAATCCTTCTTAGAAGTGGGATATTTAGGCCAGGTGTGGTGGCTCACACCTGTAATCCCAGCACTTTGGGAGGCCGAGGCAGGTGGATCACCAAGTCAGGAGATCAAGACCATCCTGGCCAACATGGTGAAACCCCATCTCTACTAAAATACAAAAACCTTAGCTGGCATGGTGGCACGCACCTGTAGTCACAGCCGCTCAGGAGGCTGAGGCAGGGGAATCACTTTAACCCAGGTGGCAGAGGATACTGTGAGCTGAGAGTGTGCCACTGCACTACAGCCTGAGCGACAGAGCAAGACTCCATCTCAAAAAAAGAAAAAAAAAGAGAGAGAAGTGGAATATTTAGCCTCAGAGGCTACACTCAGGTCCAGGCCACCTGTTAGGTGACCTGAGTGTCAGAAAGTGGGGATGAAATTGGTTAAATACCACCTGCCTCTGGTCAGGATTGGTGCTGGTTACTGGAAGTAGCAGGGTGTTTAGTAGAAACTGAGGGATCTGCTCCAGTGGTGAAGTATAAGAAGGTATCAGAAGGTTTATGCCTGTAATCCTGGCACTTTGGGTGGCTGAGGTGGGAGGATCACTTGAGGCCTGGAGCAAAACCAGCATGGACAACATAGCAAGACCCCCTCTCTACAAAAAATAAATTTTTTTTAAAAAGCAACAAAAAAATAAGATGGAAGCTAGGCAGGCCCACGTACTAAATGCTGTAGGCAAAAAGGAGAATGACATTCATTCAGCAGGAGGAATGACAGAAGCTTTCATAGAAGACATATTGTTTGCTATTAATAGATCTCTGATGGATGGTGAATAAAACAGAATAAGCAACTACATATAAGCAGAAGTAATCATAACCCTAGGATTAAGTATACTAGGAGAAAAAAAACTTTGTCCGGTATGTTGTCAACCTCATCAAGCCACCAAATGTTCATATGGAAGGAAAATATTAGATGAGGCTTCTGTAGCTTCTTCTATTTGACCCCATAGTTGGTTTTCTTCTTCTATTCTAAAGTAATACAGATTAATTTTAGAAAACAATCTTGAGTTAAACAAATAGGGGGAAAAATGAAAAATATATATTAAGTATAGTAACAATACTGACAAGTTAATACTATTAAAATTTCAATGTAATTTCTCTCAGTCATATATACAGTTGTCTCTTGGTGTCTGGTGGGGTTTCAGTATCTCTTTGGTTTTGCTGTGAATACCAAACTTTACAAATGCTCAAGTTCCTAATATAAATGGTGTAATATTTGTATATAGCCTATACACATCCTCCTGGATATTTAAAATTTTCTCTAGATTACTTATAATGCCTAATACAATGTAAATGCTATGTAAATAGTTGTTACACTGTAATGTTTAGGGAATAATGATGAGGAAAGAAATATGTGCATGTTCAGAACAGATGGAACCATCCTTTGTTTTTACCAAATATTTCCCATCCTTAGTTGATTGAATCCGTGGATCTAGAACCTACAGAAACAGAGGGCCAGCTTTACTATTTTTTTTCAAAAATGTTATTATAATATTAATTTTCATTCATTCAACAAGTACTTATCACGTCCTTCTGCCAGGGCACAATGATGAGCAAGGTAGATTGGGACCCTGCCCTGTAGTCCAGTGGGAAACAGAAACAGTAAACAGGGAATTACAACACAGTGTCATCAGGTTTGTGGTAGAAGTACAGGATGCGGCAAGGCCACATCAACTACCTTATGCAGCTCTGCTGAGTCATGGATGACTTCTTAGAGAAGGTGACAGCTAAGAAAGAGGCTTAAGGGAGAAACAGAGATTAGCTTCAGCCACAGAAGTTCACTGGTGTCTTTAATATAGCCCTGTTTGTTTTGTTATTTTGTTTTCAAGTGATGGAGATTGAATCAAAACAAGTTGAGGACTTAATGAAAAAACAGAGGCTACAGTAAATGATTCTTTTATGAAAATTGAGATAAGATGGAGAGAGACAAGGCTGAAGGGGACATAGGTTGAGAGGACGATTTGTTTTGTTTTTAAAATTAGAGTATTTTGTGCTGATGAAAAGGAAACAATAAAAAAAGGTAGCTTGGGAATATATGGAGACAATAATGAGAAAAATTAGTAAGGTATTCCCTGAGGAAAGGCAAAAAGGAAGATGTCCAGAGCATGAGTGGAGGGAGTAGCCATGCTAATGGAAGAAGGAAAGATAAATGAGACAGGTCATGAGCCCTGAATTCATGGAAATGCTGAAGGACAGTGTTAGTCTTGGAGAGCCCTTTTAAATTTGGTTAGCTTCTTCGTGGTTTGAAAAATATATTGAATTTAATTACTCAATCCTACCAATGATTTCTGGTAATTATAGCATAGGGACATAATGACGGGTTTCCTGGAACTCTTTGAAATGACAAATGGTGGCTGGGTACAGTGGTTCATGCCTATAATTCAGGTACTTTGGGAGGCCAAGGTGGATGGATCACTTGAGGCCGGGAGTTCAACACCAGCCTGGCCAACATGCTGAAATCCCATCTCTACTAAGAATACAAAAATTAGCCAGGCATGGTGGCACACACCTGTAATTCCAACTATTTGGGAAGATGACGCAGGAGAATCAATTGAACCTGGGAGGCAGAGGTTGCAGTGAGTCGGGATCGTACCACTGCACTCCAGACTGGGTGACAGAGTGAGACCCTGTCTCAATCAATCAATCAATAGCAATAAATAAAATTATAAATGGAACATTAATTGCTATGACAGCCCCCCTCAGTGAGGCTAGTGTGAGCCACCATGATCTCTGTTCTCTTCTTCCTATCTCCATTATCCCAACAAGCTAACTATGCCTTCACCACAGGAATCTTCCAAAGATGGGATGACCAGGGTTTATAAGTCATTAGTGACAAACGTCTGCAAGGAAATGTCATGTTACAGTGACTTCCCTTTCCAAGAAGATTATCCCAATTTCATGAACCATGAAAAATTTTGGGACTATCTCCAAGAATTTGCTGAGCACTTTGACCTTCTAAAATACATTCAGTTTAAGGTAAGACACTTTGTGTTATGAAAGATGAGTAGATAGGGGCTGGCCTGTTCAGCAATTTAATGAAAATTGGATGCTTAAAGTAATATTTTTCTTGATTTTATCCCTAAATAAATAGAAAGATAATAAAGATTTCTCACTCCAGCTGCTGCTCAAGTTTTACGCAAATAAATCATTAAAATACTGAATCTGGGATGGGCACAGTGGCTCATGCCTGTAATCGCAACACTTTGGGAGGCCTAGGCTGGCAGATCATGTGAGGTCAGGAGTTTGCAACCTGCCTGGCCAATATGGTGAAACTCCGTCTCTACTAAAAATACAAAACTTAGTGTGGTGGTGCACACCTGTGATCCCAGCTTTTCAGGGGGCTGAGGCACGAGAATTGCTTAAACCTGGGAGGCGGAGGTTGCAGTGAGCCAAGATCCTGCCACTGCACTCTAGCCTGGGCCACAGAGTGAGACTGTGTCTCAAAAATAAAATAAAATAACAAACATAACATAACATACTGAATTTGCTGACTGCTCCTCTAAATGCTAGACTCTCATTCAGGATGAAATTTTGAATTTTTTTAAAAGAGAAAAAAAGGGCCGGGCGCCGTGGCTCAAGCCTGTAATCCCAGCACTTTGGGAGGCCGAAGCGGGTGGATCACGAGGTCAAGAGATCAAGACCATCCTGGTCAACATGGTGAAACCCCGTCTCTACTAAAAATACAAAAAATTAGCTGGGCATGGTGGCGTGTGCCTGTAATCCCAGCTACTCAGGAGGCTGAGGCAGGAGAATTGCCTGAACCCAGGAGGCGGAGGTTGCGGTGAGCCGAGATCGCGCCATTGCACTCCAGCCTGGGCAACAAGAGCGAAACTCCGTCTCAAAAAAAAAAAAAAAAAGAGAGAGAAAAAAAGAATTTTGTTCATGAAGCCCATTGGGAAAAAACAACTAGAAGTCTGAACCACAGAAATTATAATAGGGCAAAACTAATTTTCCTGAATTTTCCAAGCATCAGGCATTGTAACTCATCTCTTTCTCACCAGGAATAAAAAGTGACTGTTTTTTCCTTCCATTGAAAGATTCAAATGTCTCATGTCAAAGTCTACATTGCCACCTTTGTGAGATTGCATAAGTTACTTAACTTCTCTAGAAAGGTAATAAATCAATATTAATAGACTTCCTATCATGGGGCTTGGCCTACATAAAGTAACAGACAGGGTTACCACACCAGTCACTGCATAAAGTCCAAAGATGGTGAGAAGTGAGTGTTTGTCTTTCACTTTTAGACCACTGTGTGCAGCATAACAAAGCGTCCTGGACTTCTTCACAACTGGTCAGTGGGATGTTGTCACAGAGACAGAGGGCAAGCAGAATAGAGCTGTCTTTGATGCTGTCATGGTTTGCACTGGACATTTCCTGAATCCTCATTTACCTTTGGAAGCCTTTCCTGGTGAGCCATTTTTACCTGAGACCATGCCTACTTATCTGGGTTCTTCTAGAAGTAAACTTTAATTTGCAGTTGGAAATACCTCCCCATGATTATAGACAGCTTTATATTCACTCTCAAAAATAATATATGCAAAATTACTTTAAAAGGTGTATAAAGCAATATGAAGGTGTCAGGTCTTATTTACTTATTAATATAAATGTCATTATTATTGTTTAAGCTTTCTAATGTGTGTATAATTCAAATTCGGTGATCACAAAAGGCTCAGAACAACAGATCTGTCATGAAAAAGAACAAGCTTTGATTTTGGGAACTGAATTACAGGTAATTTGAATCAGGACTGGCCTGTAATAGAAGAACTTATAGAAAGTGAAAGTATATAATTTTTTTAAAAGAAACAAACCAGAAATTAAACATGCAAAGCAATATATCCAACCTTAGCTAGCATTGGAGGTTACTGGACAAAAAAAATTTAAAAGTGAAAAAAAAGCAATGTATTCACCCTTCAAAACAGTCAACACAATAATCATACAATTATTTGGCCAGACGCAGTGATTCATGCCTGTAATCCCAGTACTTTGGGAGGTCAAGGCAGGGAGATCATTTGAGGCTAGGAGTTGGAGACCAGCCTGGCCATCATGGTGAAACCCTGTCTCTGCTAAAAATACAAAAATTAGCTGGATATGGTGGCTCACGCCTGTAATCCCAGCTACTCAGGAGGCTGAGGCACAAAAAACTGCTTGAACCCAGGAGGTGGCGGTTGCAGTGAGCCAAGATCATGCCACTGCACTTCAGCCTGGGCCAGAGTGAGACTCTGTCTCGAAAATAAATGAACGAATAAATAAATAATCACACAACTCTTAAACCAGGGCTATTTAGAAAAAGGAGTTTTAGAAAATTCCTTTTGGAAATGCTTTTGACCATGACAGCATATTCTTTTTTTTTTTTTTGAGACGGAGTTTCGCTCTTGTTACCCAGGCTGGAATGCAATGGCTCGATCTCGGCTCACCGCAACCTCCGCCTCCTGGGTTCAGGCAATTCTCCTGCCTCAGCCTCCTGAGTAGCTGGGATTACAGGCACGCGCCACCATGCCCAGCTAATTTTTTGTATTTTTAGTAGAGACGGGGTTTCACCATGTTGACCAGGATGGTCTCAATCTCTCGAACTCGTGATCCACCCGCTTCGGCCTCCCAAAGTGCTGGGATTACAGGCTTGAGCCACCGCCCCCGGCCGACAGCATATTCTTTTTAATATACTCATGATTGTTAAATTGCCATCATCTGGGGTCAAAACTGATTATTTGAAAAGCCAAAAGCTATTCAAATTCAGTTGAGGTAAATAAAATTAATCAATTGACGGTTACTAAAATGTAAAAAAGCTACTCCTGTTACAAAATTAGTGGCCCTAAAGGCAATTGAATAGGTGAGTTTTTGGAATTTCTTATAGGAATTTAAAGAACTTTTGAAGAAGGGAAACTATGAATAATAAACATGCAAATGTTGGCAAAATATATGAAAATACAACTTATAAACGTAATCACAAGTTGACAAAATAGCCTATTCAAAAAAAATGTATTTAGGAATCAAGTGAAAAAAATTTTTTTTTCTTTTTTTTGAGATGGAGTTTCGCTCTTGTTACCCAGGCTGGAGTGCAATGGCGCAATCTCGGCTCACTGCAACCTCCGCCTCCTGGGTTCAAGCAATTCTCCTGCCTCAGCCTTCCGAGTAGCTGGCATTACAGGCATGCACCACCATGCCCAGCTAGTTTTTGTATTTTTAGTAAAGAAGGGGTTTCGCCATGTTGACCAGGATGGTCTCGATCTCGTGACCTCGTGATCAACCCGCCTCGGCCTCCCAAAGTGCTGGGATTATAGGCGTGAGCCACCGCCCCCGGCCTTCAAGTGAAAATTTAATACATAATTTTTCAAAGAAACAATGTTATAAATGGTGGTTGGCTTCAGGCTTGCTGATGATCTGGAGGCTTAAACACACAACTGTACAATACTAAACGATATAAAAACACTTCATAACATTTTCTTTTTTTTTTTTTTTTTTTTTTGAGACGGAGTTTTGCTCTTGTTACCCAGGCTGGAGTGCAATGGCGCGATCTCGGCTCACCGCAACCTCCGCCTCCTGGGTTCAGGCAATTCTCCTGCCTCAGCCTCCTGAGTAGCTGGGATTACAGGCATGTGCCACCATGCCCAGCTAATTTTTTTGTATTTTTAGTAGAGACGGGGTTTCACCATGTTGACCAGGATGGTCTCGATCTCTTGACCTCGTGATCCACCCGCCTCCGCCTCCCAAAGTGCTGGGATTACAGGTTTGAGCCACCGCGCCCGGCTTTCATAACATTTTCTATGGAAACTGTGCCATAAATGCCAACTATTGATATGGATACTTTTGGAATTTATTGTCTTTTCAAGTTTGGGATTGTTTACCCTTTATTTCACACTACATTCAGTTCCACATAGACTATATATATATATATATATATATTTTTTTTTTTTTTTTTTTGAGACAGGGTCTTATTCTACTGTATTGCCTGAGCTGGAGTGCAGTGGTGCCATCTTGGCTCAGTCCAGCCTCAGCCTCCTGGGCTGAAGCATCTTCCTGCCTCAGTCTCCAGAATAGTTGGGACTACAGGTATATGCCATTACACCCAGCTCATTTTGTATTTTTTGTAGAGATAGGGTCTTGCCATCTTGCCCAGGCTGGTCTCAAACTCCTGGACTCAAGGGATCCGCCTGCTTTGTCCTCCCAAATACTGAGATTACAGGACTATCACTTTTTAAGATTCCTTTTCTGCTTTTAACTAACCACCACAGTATCTTTCACAAATAGCTTTAGGACCCCTGTTGAAATGAATGCTTTACTTGAGACCATGAACCATTTTCTGCATAGAAAGTATCAGGGCTATTTCTACACTATTTTAAAAAATCCATAGAAATCACAAGCTTTGTCCATAACGTGTCACTACAACTGTTTGAAAGTTGACATTGTAACACATGCATACCCTTTTAAAAAATCTATATTATCAACTTAAAGGAAGAAGCTGAGGCACAAAATATTATTTCAAAGAGTTTACTTGAGTCAAAATATAATTTTAAAGAGTTTCCTTGAGGATAGCTGCTTGGGAAACATTTCCAAGTTGCCTTAAGAAGTACTCTGTTCAGCCTTTGTTACCAGCAGGTTTTTAAAGGGAACAGAGACAGGAGTGCACAGATACAAAGTTGTTTGACAGGAATTCTCATTAATTTACAGAATTAGCATTGATTAGTCATTAACTGTACATTTTTGAACTATAGACTATGAGTTATGGCATCCAGTGTATGGCGTTGTCAGGTTAATTTATGGCAGCTTGATGTCAGTAAGTCTAGAGCCCAAATAGCAACTGGCTTCACGTGGTGATTACTTAACTCAAGATAGGGAGTGACATGTGATTGCTGTCAAATTTCAAAGCCTCTTTCGTCCTGATAACTTAAAAGGGGCTTGCATTCCTGAGGTAAAGTTTCTTTTCTTTCCGGTATAAATTGACTTTTGCTGTGTTCCTGAATTAGTAGTTTTAATTTATCAAATATATATAGATTTTTATTTTCTGGCACTGCATTGACATAAACATTAACTCAGAACTACCTATACATTCTACAGTTTTTCTTCTTCAAAATGTAATTACAGAAAATCCATCATTTGCAAGGCAGTATGAGAGATATAAAACCCATGAGCAAAGTGGAGCCCTCCAGTAAGTTCCTGCCAGCAAAACCTCATTAAGTGCCTCAATGTCCCATTCTCTAACGCTTTTGATGCATATTCTATTCCCACTTCTTGGAAACTTCTTCATGCTCCCCTTTTCCAATTTCTAATCATCCTTAAAAAAATTCTTGCTTTAAGAAAATCTCCTTCAAATGCCTTCACTGGCTCAGTCCAGGCTGGACATCCCATTGGAGCCATCATAATGCCTCCTCTTCTGGGAGGGAGTATAGTATCACGCCTAACAGCTGAGCTCCAGAATCAGACATCCTGAGTTCCCATATGGGCTCTGCTATTTACTGTACGGTCTTGGGCAGGGTTTTTGGTTTCTTTGGTTGGTTGGTTTTTGGTTTTTGGTTTTTGGTTTTTTTGCACTGCAATCTCACTGCAAAACAAAACAAACAGGGAAGTTAAGCAATTTGCCCAGGGATTTTTTTGTCTCAATCTCAGCTTTGACAAAATTGAATAATACTGTGGTCCACTCTATGGGGTTGCTCTGTGATTTAAATTTGTTAATACAGGCCAGGTGTAGTGGCTCATGCCTGTAATCCCAGCACTTTGGGAGGCCAAGGCAGGCAGATCTTTTAAACTCAGGAGTTCGAGACCAGCCTGGGTAATATGGTGAAACCCTGTCTCTACTAAAAATACAAAAATATTAGCCAAGCACAGTGGCATGCACATGTAGTCCCAGCTACTTGGGGGGCTGAGGCAGGAGGATCACATGAGCCCAGGATGCAGTTACAGTGAGCTCTGACGGAGCCACCGCACTCCAGCCTGGGTAACAGAGCTAAACCCTTTCTCAGTAAATAAATAAGTAAAATTTTAAACATGTATAAAGCCCTTAGAGGCCTGGGACTAGCATAGGAAGGGCTAAATAGTTGTTAGCTATTTTCTGTTTTCTTATATCCTCATTAAAGGATACATTATCTATCTATCTATCTATGTATTTATTTATTTAGAGACAGAGTTTCACTCTTGTTGCCTAGGCTGGAGTACAATGGGGCAATCTTGGCTCACTGCAACCTCCGCCTCCTGGGTTCAAGTGATTCTCCTGCCTCACTCTCCCAAGTAGCTGAGATTGCAGGCTCCTGCCACCAAGCCCAGCTAATTTTTTTTTTTTTTTTTGTATTTTTAGTAGAGACAGTGTTTCACCATGTTGGCCAGGCTGGTCTCAAACTCCTGACCTCAGGCAATCCACCTGCCTTGGCCTCCCAAAGTACTGGGATTACAGGCATGAGGCACCACGCCAGTCCTAGACAACAAATTCTGAGGGTATGGGTCGGGTGCGGTGGCTCACACCTATAATTCCAGCACTTTGGAAGGCTGAGGTGAGCAGATTACTTGAGGTCAAGAGTTTGAGACCAGCCTAGACAACATGGAGAAACACCGTTTCTACTAAAAATACAGAAATTAGCTGGACGTGGTGGTACACACCTGTAACTCCAGCTACTCAGGAGGCTGAGACAGGAGAATCACTTGAACCTGGGAGGGGAGGTTGCAGTCGAGATCATGCCATTGCACTCTAGCCTGGGTGACAGAGCAAGACCCTGTCTCAAAATAAAAGTTCTTTGAGGGTAGAGAACTTTTGTCCTCGCATTTCTTAGACCTAGCATAGCACCTTGGACATTGAAAGTGTTGAAAGAACAGGCTATGTAAGGTATCAGCTAAGTTTTTCCTTTAATATCCCTGCAGACTGATCGGTGGGGCTTGTCCTTCCTTTGCCTCTTAATGAAATCTCAAGCAGTTTTCTACTTATTCTCAGATAATGTAATGTCCTCTAATCACTTTAAGTCACACACAAAAAATCTTTTTTTCATAACTAAAATGTGCTTTTCAAGCAATAGTCAAAATTTGCAGCTGCATGTAATGTTAAAGCTTCTCCCTTCTACCATCTGACACCTGCTATGAGCTGACAGCAGTGGCAAGAAGAGATGGTGTGCTTGATTTCCTTCTTCCTCTGCCATCCTCTCCCCACAAACTCTAAACCCATCAGCATATATAATCCAACAGTGGGAGAAATACTTGCTGTCAGTGCGGCCACCATTCCCCAAAGGCAGTCCCATTCACACCCTTCCAAGCACCAGTCTTTGTGCTCTGTACACACCAAGCATCAAGGTCTCACTCAGAGTGGTCTCCCTGAAGCCCCTCACACCTGGCTCCATGTCAACAAGACAGAAAATGCCACAGCATTTTAGTGATACCTGTCAATTTCCAACTCCAAGCCACTTCAACCTCAACCATTTTAGACCCTCAAAGTGAGTGTGAGGCTAAGTAAGGATCACACAACTGGCCTCATACACACAGTTTCTCCAAATTCAACATAGCTGGTTTAGCACCTCACTTGGAATGTGGGAACTATTGTTTAGTGTCCAGCTTTGGGAGCCTCAGTAGGCGAAGAATCATATTAAAACATTTCATTATACAATCTACTTCTTGCCCAGGATGTTCAGCATAGTATATAAGATGTTTCTTATCATTTGTGAGTTTGATTTCCTGAAGCAACTGCTTTAAAAAAGAACACTTGCCGGGCGCGGTGGCTCAAGCCTGTAATCCCAGCACTTTGGGAGGCCGAGGCGGGTGGATCACGAGGTCGAGAGATCGAGACCATCCTGGTCAACATGGTGAAACCCCGTCTCTACTAAAAATACAAAAAATTAGCTGGGCATGGTGGCACGTGCCTGTAATCCCAGCTACTCAGGAGGCTGAGGCAGGAGAATTGCCTGAGCCCAGGAGGCGGAGGTTGCGGTGAGCCGAGATCGTGCCATTGCACTCCAGCCTGGGTAACAAGAGCGAAACTCCGTCTCAAAAAAAAAAAAAAAGAACATTTATATGGAATATAAGATCGCCTATGTTTTTAACAAGGCAGGTTGTAGCTATTCAATAAATGTTACAAAATAAATGAATGAATCAATGACTGAATAGGAGAAGAATGATATATTCTAGAAGAGAATTTTATCTTTGTCCACTGACACTTCAAAGGCACTTGAAGCCTTGGCACGAGAGGCAGTCTAGTCCACAAAGCTGCTGGGCTTCCCTTTCGGATTCTTTTGTCAATGCATCATCTCATCTGTGGTTCTGACCATCACTGGCCTCATCACAATTGTTTCCTCCGTCACTTCGCACAATTTTCACTTTTGCTGCTGCTGCTGCTATAAACACCCTTGCTTCCATTATTCCTACCATTCTTAGTTTATGTGAATCCATGGTTTATGTCTGTTCTCACACTGCTAGTAAAGACACACTCAAAACTGGGCAATTTTCAAAGGAAAGAAGTGTAAATGTCTACAGTTCCACATGGCTCCAGAGGCCTCACAATCCTGGCAGAAGCAAAGAAAGAGCAAAGTCACGTCTTACACAGTGGACAGCAAGAGGGAGCATGTCCAGGGGAAGTCCCCTTCCTAAAAACCATCATATCTCATGAGACTTATTCACTATTAGGAGAACAACATGGGAAAGACCTGCCCCATGATTCATTTTCCTCCCACCAGGTCTCTCCCATGACACATGGGATTTATGGGAGCTACAATTCAAGATTTGGGTGGGGACACAGCCAAACCACGTGAGTCTTTTATGTCTGCCAAGGAGATAATTGCCAAAAATGAATCAAAAGAAGGAAAATGTGTAGTCTTCCTTACATATGTAAATATCATCATAGCTGTGCTTCTATGGACAGATTATTAGGAGCTTCATGAAAGATCAATCAGAAACAAGTATAAATAACATAAGAATAAAACACAAATAAGCATACCCCATGACAACACATCAAGTGTATAATAAAGCATAAAGTATAAGTAACATGAACTTAAATCACAGGAATAATTACTTTGCAAAAGAACTTACCACAGAATTTCTCCTGTAGAAAATTTTAATTGAATCAAAATTTAATGTGTAAACATATATACAAATCACTTTCTGGGAGACCGAGGCAGGTAGATCACGAGGTCAAGAGATCCAGACCATCCTGGTCAACATGGTGAAACCCTGTCTCTACTAAAAATACAAAAAATTAGCTGGGCATGGTGGCGTGTGCCTGTAATCCCAGCTACTCAGGAGGCTGAGGCAGGAGAATTGCCTGAACCCAGGAAGCAGAGGTTGCAGTGAGCCGAGACCACGCCATTACACTCCAGCCTGGGTAACAAGAGCTAAACTCCGTCTCAAAAAACAAACAAACAAACAAACAAATCACTTTCTGATAGAATATATCTATTGGGCAAAATAACATGTATCAACAATCTACTTTTTTTGTTTGTTCAAGATCCTTATTCAGTATCCAAATGAAGATGTCAAGTAGGTATTTAGATACAAGTATGGTGGTCCTGGGAGAAACCACAGATGGATATAATATTTGATATAGATGGACTAAAAACAATCTACTTCTTGTCCAGGTTGTTCAACATAGTATACAATAAGAATACACTTATTTTTTGTGAGTTTGATTTCCAGAAGCAACTGTTTTAAAAGGGCACACTCATACGGAATACAAGATTTCCTATGTTTTTAAGGAAGCAGGTTGTACTAAATCTGCATCTGGGCTCACAGCATCCCAGGGGAGAGTGAGGTTATATGCTTCTACTTCCTGCCACTAGCAGCATAAACAAAGGGCTGCCATAGTTGAGGAACTTCCCTTTTTCCACAGACTTATCCCTGCATAGTGGGAAATTATAGCTTTAGATGTTTCAGACTTTCTGATCCTTCACTCCTCTCAGGAATTCATAAGTTTAAAGGTCAGATCCTGCATAGTCAAGAATACAAGATCCCAGAAGTCTTTCAGGGCAAGCGTGTCTTGGTGATCGGTCTTGGGAACACTGGAGGAGACATTGCTGTGGAACTCAGTCGAACAGCGGCTCAGGTACTGAATTAACGCCCCTAATCCCATCATCAGTTATGGTGGCAGGAAAGAAGTATTCAAGACTATAAAGTACATTGGCCAATTTCTAGATTATGCAGAGACAGAATAAGTGAAAGAAACAAAATCCTGAAAATCCTTAAAGCCACTCACAATCCTTTCTGAACTATTTAAAAAGCCACACTACAGAACTGAACCATCTCCAAGAAGGATCTAGGAAAATTGTGTGGATGCCAGACCTCTAAGCATTTTTCAGAAGTGCTCCCTCAGAAACAAGACCTTATGGGCAAATTGCTTCACCCAGGTCAATTATCTTTTTTTTTACACTCCCTTTGTCATTCTGGCAAAATCTCTATGTGAATAGAAAGAGATCGTTTTCCTGAATGTTTCTAAGTTCTCTACTAAAAGTCAGATTTGTACCTTGTTTTGAGATAAAAGCAACCCTTGCACAACAAGTATACATAATGACTTTAGAAAGTCTAACCCCAGATTCACAAATTAGAAATCTATTCCACTGTAGTGTAAATTATAGGATAATGATTAGATCTGGAAAGAATAGATTTTTATTTGAAAATCAGTTAAAATTGCTTTTCCATACCTTCACTTTAAATTCTATTTTACTTACATGTAAAAAATTGCCAGATTCATTCCATGTATCTACAAATATTATACTTCTGTATTTATAATGCTATAAACATAGTAAAATATTTAAGAGATACATAGATCTAGTAAAGTGATTTTGAGAATAATGACAGCAACGGGAACAGATAATCATATGTAGATCTATGTACAAATTCACCAATCCTCTATTGCTATAAGACCAGATTGTAATAATATCATTTGAAACGCACTTAAGAAAACTACTACAAAATGATGGACATATATTTATCCTTCTTGCCTTACTTTTTAGGTACTTCTCAGTACTAGAACTGGCACCTGGGTTTTGGGGCGCTCTTCAGATTGGGGCTATCCTTATAATATGATGATTACAAGAAGATGCTATAGTTTTATTGCACAAGTTCTGCCTTCATGTTTTCTAAACTGGATTCAAGAGAGAAAGTTGAATAAGAGATTTAATCATGAGGATTATGGATTAAGTATTACAAAAGGGTACTTAAATTTTTTTATTAGTAGAAAAATTATTAAATCAATATTTAAGTATTACAAAAGGGTACTTAAATTTTATTAGTAGAAAAATTATTAAATCAATATTTCTCATATTTTATTCACAATTCAAAATGTTCAATAATTATTTTTTTTTCTTTTTTCTTTTTTCTTTTTTTTTTTTTTTGAGACGGAGTTTCGCTCTTGTTACCCTAGGCTGGAGTGCAATGGCGCGATCTCAGCTCACCGCAACCTCTGCCTCCTGGGTTCAAGCAATTCTCCTGCCTCAGCCTTCCGAGTAGCTGGGATTACAGGCACGCGCCACCATGCCCAGCTAATGTTTTGTATTTTTTAGTAGAGACAGGGTTTCGCCATGTTGACCAGGATGGTGTCGATCTTGTGACCTCGTGATCCACCCACCTCGGCCTCCCAAAGTGCTGGGATTACAGGCTTGAGCCACCGCGCCCAACTCAAAATGTTCAATAATTCTAACATTGCCCTTGTTTATTCTACTCTAAATCTATTTCCCTAATACAATGTCATCAGGTACCATAGCAGTTCTCGAAATAGTATATTCTCTTTCTGGTAGCAAAAGTAGCAAAATTTTCATTTCCTGCTATTACAAAAATCACATATTTTTGTTGTTGTTGTTGTTGTTGGGGTTTTTTGTGTCGGTGGTGGTGGTGGTGTTTTTGAGATAGGGTTTTACTCCCACCACCCAGGCTAGAGTTCAATGGTGTGATTTCTATTCACTGCAACCTCTGCCTTCTGGGCTTAAGCAATTCTTCTGCTTTAGCCTCCCAAGTAGGTGGGACTACAGGCACAGGCCACCTTGCCCAGCTAATTTTTGTATTTTTTAGTAGAGACGGGGTTTCGCCATGTTGGCGAGGCTGGTTTCGAACTCTTGGTCTCAAGTGATCAACCTGCCTTGGCCTCCCAAACTGCTGGGATTACAGGAGTGAGCCACCCCACCCAGCCGGAATAATATATTTTAATATACATCTGTATAGAGTTGCACATCAGCAAGTAAAAGAAAGCCTTTGGAAAGCATATAAAGTCATTACATGTGATTTTTATTATATACTTGACCCAAATATTTTTCTTTGGTAAGATATTGTTTTTTGTTTTGTTTCATTTTTTGTTTATCCTTGAGATGTCTTTCAACTTATGAGGAAAACTACTGGCAAAGTATGATTTGATATGGAAATTTTATAGACATTATGTTTGATGTGATTAGGTAGAATGATGTTCAAAATGAAAATATTTATCCGTAAAAACATATTCAGGACCGGCCGGGCGCGGTGGCTCAAGCCTGTAATCCCAGCACTTTGGGAGGCCGAGGTGGGTGGATCACAAGGTCAAGAGATCAAGACCATCCTGGTCAACATGGTGAAACCCCGTCTCTACTAAAAATACAAAAAAATTAGCTGGGCATGGTGGCCCGTGCCTGTAATCCCAGCTACTCAGGAGGCTGAGGCAGGAGAATTGCCTCCAGGTGGTGGAGGTTGCGGTGAGCCAAGATCGCGCCATTGCACTCTAGCCTGGGTAACAAGAGTGAAACTCCGTCTCAAGAAAAAAAAAAAAAAAAAAAAAAAAATTCAGGACCCTTTTTATTTATTTTTATTTATTTATTTATTTTGAGATGGAGTCTCACTCCGTTGCCCAAGCTAGAGTGCAGTAGTGCGATCTTGACTCACTGCAACTTCTGCCCTCACAAGTTCAAGTGATTCTCCTGCCTCAGACTCCCAAATAGCTGGGACTACAGGTGAGGGCCACCATGCCCAGCTAATTTTTTATATTAAATTTTTATTTAAAGGGTTCCTTGCTAATTTCCTCTTTGCCTGTCATTCTCTAGAGGCCTAGGTAGTGTGAGACCCAAAATTGATCATCAAATGGATTGTTGTATATTCTATGCTGACACTAGGAGAAAATCATTGCTCCAGAAATTAGTTCCAAGACAGACAGTTTTGAACCTCAAGCAAGAAAGAGTAGGTTTAGTCATTTTCCACATGCCTTCTGCTGAGAACAGAAAAACAAACCACGTTATAAACATGCTAAGTCAAGTAGATGACCTTGAATTAGGTATTGGTCAATTCACTTCCCTAGATTGGCAGGTAATTTCCCTTAATTGACTAAATAAATATTTTGCTGAAGTTTCTCATAAAAATAACTACAGTGAATAATTTTCTTCTGTGTGTCAAAGGAAACAAGCAAAATTCATTGTGAATGATGAGCTGCCAAGCTGTATCCTCTGTGGGTCAATCACTATAAAAACCAGCGTGATGGAATTTACAGAAACCTCTGCTGTCTTTGAAGATGGGACAGTGGAAGAAAACATTGATGTTGTGATCTTCACTACAGGATATACATTTTCTTTTCCCTTTTTTGAAGAACCTCTTAAAAGCCTCTGTACAAAGAAGATATTTCTATACAAGAACGTCTTTCCCTCAAACCTGGAGAGAGCAACATTAGCCATCATAGGCCTTTTAAGCCTTAAAGGATCCATCTTATCAGGCACAGAGCTCCAAGCACGATGGGCCACAAGAGTATTCAAAGGTACCTTGACTCTACTGAAAGCTCTCTCTTTGAATCTTAAAATTGGTGCCCTGCCACTTAGCTAAAATCAAACAGATGTGAGCTAAAGTAACAAAATATTTTTTTAATTAACGTACAATTAATTGCATATGTTTGTAATGTGATGGATGTGCTATGTCACTTAATGTGACTAAGTAGGAAAAGAGATTTTGGCTCTGTGGATGAGATAACTTTGAACAACAGAATATAATTAAATTTCTCAGATTACCTGAAATTATTGGAAGCTTCATGATACTATTCTAGCCTAGTCTAATCTATTTACTCGTAAATCTTTTCATTTAGCACTAGAAGTATAATTTTATATTGCTTCCAAAGAAAGATATTGGAATAACACACACTGTGAATAAAGTTGAGATTAGAGGGCCACAAAAAATATTTTAGACACTGGAAACTACTTTCTGTTAATTATAACAATAAAAGCATAGATGCTGGAATCAGAGCTACCAAGTTCCAATTCCAACTTTGAAATTCTTTAGCTTTTCAAGAACCCCTCTAAATTTCAGCCCCTTATAAATCCTCTATCACAAGAATTTTGTAAAATGGATACTATCTACAAAGCAATTAACACAGTACTTGACATATAACAAATGCTTATTAAGTGATGGGGTTTCTCTGATCACTGCTATTGCTATCATCCCTCTAAAGTAGGGCAAATTTTAGATTAGTAAGCATTTTAGTTTGTAAAGAACTACAGTTTTATTTTTAAATATAAACAGCCCTAGCAATTATGCCAGTCAACTATCCTGTAGAAGAATTCTGTTCTTTATTTTATATATACGTATATACATGTGTGTATATATATATATATATATATATATTTTTTTTTTTTTTTAAAAAGACGGGGTTTCACCATGTTGGTCAGGCTGCTCTTGAACTCCCAACCTCAAGTGATCTGCCTGCCTTGGCCTTCAAAGTGCTTGGATTACAGGCGTGAGCCACCAGGCCCGGCCTAGAATTATATTCTTAATGAATAAAAACAATCACCAATAACTTATAAATAGCATACAACATGGTATTAAGTAGTGATGACTTCTATCACATTGTAGAAATATAATAAATATCAATTGCACTTAAAAACCACATGGTCTCCTAAGTTGGCAAAAAAATGTTATTTGAATGGGGGAAGGGGAATGAAGGCAGTTTGAAAATCTCATTTTACTTACATTACACAAAAAATTCTACAACCCTTCAGTAAATTTCTGGGTTTTTTTTTTTGTTTTTTGTTTTTTTGAGACTGGAGTTTCACTCTTGTTACCCAGACTGGAGTGCAATGGCGCGATCTCGGCTCACCGCAACCTCTGCCTCCTGGGTTCAGGCAATTCTCCTGCCTCAGCCTCCTGAGTAGCTGGGATTACAGGCACGCGCCACCATGCCCAGCTCATTTTTTGTATTTTTAGTAAAGAAGGGGTTTCACCATGTTGACCAGGATGGTCTTGATCTCTTGACCTCGTGATCCACCTGTCTCGGCCTCCCAAAGTGCTGGGATTACAGGCTTGAGCCACCGCACCTGGCCCAAATTTCTGTTTTTTTAAGGCCAATTAAAGTGCTTTCACAGCATTATCCAATTACATTAAAACTGCAGAAGACTTAATTCAGTACCTGGTTTTTAAAAGTATTTTATGGTGAGCTCCAAAATGGTTATTAGAATGATAAAGCTGACAACAAAAGTCGTTTAGCTCACACCATAGGATTAACGGCATGCTTCTCCCGAGAATTTCCAAAAAGCAATCTAGGAACCGCCAATTAAACTCCTGCTAGTTTTTTGGAGGATAAAGTGACCCTAGTGGAAAGCAATCCACAGAGCTTAGTCGGGCCTATCTTGTGTGAAGAGTAAACCCACACCTTGGGCCAGCACTTGGTACCTGACAAGGGCAGGACTGGCCAGAATGGAATGGCAAACAGGGTGGACTAATAAGGGTCACAGGTGGCCTGAGGTGGGTAGGGACAGTGAAGGGGCAGGGGTTGGGGACAGAGTTTACATTATAAAAGGGAGTACGGACATTCTAGGAACCCAGAGAACAAAATGGGATTTTAGTCTCTGGGGAAGCTGGGCAGCTACAGAGAATTACCAGGGTGCAAGCTGTTACGGACAAATAAGGTTTAGAAAGACAGGAAGAGCAGAGTCCAAGTGCTGAGACTGTCTAGACAGGAGATAGGGAATGAGTGGGTCCTTGAAACAAAAGCAGACAGCCTGGGTGAGACTGAGAGACTGCTAGGCCCCTTTCACACTTGAGGCTCCTTGTGAAACAAAAATAAAGATGTTCTGAGACAGGGTTATAAAGTGGGGTTTTTAAAGAGACCAGTCCTCACTACATTGCCCAGGCTGGAGTGTAGTAATGTGATTATGGCTCACTGCAGCCTTGATCTCCTGGGATCAAGGGATTCTCTCACCCCAGCCTCTTGAGTAGCTGGAACTATAAGGCCATGCCACCATACCTGGCTAAATTTTTATTTTTTTATAGAGATAGTGTTGGCAGGCTGGTCTTGAACTCTTGGACTCAAGCAATCCTTCTACCTTGGCCTCCCAAAGTGCTGGGATTACAGGCATGAGCCATTATGACCAGCCTAAAATGGGGTCATCTTAAGTGTTTACATTTAACCAACTAATAGCTTTAACACAAACACACACACATACAAGTACAATGTGGGGGCATACATGCAATATAATATAAATTATTTTATTTATACACTGAAAGCAGATGAAGAGGGACAGTGGGGCCAAGTGGCACAGGTGCAGGCATCTGGTGAGCATGGCACTGGCTGAGAACTGAGCCACAGAGGCATCTTTTCTCACAATTCTGGCAGTAGAGTTCACTTAACGTGAGCTGGGAGGGGAATTTTACCTCCAGAAAATTATTTTCTGTGCTGCAATTCCATTCTGAGCTTTAACTATCATGTGTTCTAAAGTTGGAGCAGTGGGACGCTAGAAATAAGAGGGAGGAGAATTTAAATAAAGGAAAAGCCACATGTGACTTTAGTGTTGTTTGTGATTTTACCCATAGGACTCTGTAAAATACCTCCATCCCAAAAACTGATGCTGGAGGCTACTAAAACAGAACAGCTCATTAAAAGGTATGAAATATAGCTTGCTCTAGGGAAAACTTACAGTGTACTCTGTTACAAAAAAAAAAAAAAAAAAAAAAAAAGGATTCAGAGTATAAAAGCCATTCCTAGAGAAGCAGTATGGCAGGTTGGAAATAACTCTGCATTAGGAATCAGAAGAATACATTTTTAGTCCTAACTCTGTCGCCAATCAGACATGTGGCCTTAGACAAGTCATTTGGGGACACCAGGTCTTTTCAGTGGAACACACAGCCTGGCCCCCTGCCGGTGGCCAGCCTGTCTTCACTTAGCCCCAGAAATCCATTGTCTTCACTTTCTTCCTACCTCTCAGGCTGCCCTTTCTCTGTATTTGCTGGTATCTCCTCTTCCTCACTCCTAAAATTTAATGAGCTCCAAACTTAGTCCTCAGACCTCTTCTCGCTTCTTTTTTTTTTTTTTTTTTTTTTTTTTTTTTAGAGACAGGGTTTCAACCTTGGTCAGGCTGGTCTCAAACTCCCGACCTCAAGTGATCTGCCCACCTCGGCCTCCCAAAGTGCTGGGATTATAGGTGTGAGCCACTGTGCCTGGCCACTCTTCTCACTTCTATTTACACCCACTCCCAGGTGGCCTCATCCAGGCCTGAGGCTTTAAATATTATCATATACTCATGGCTCCCAAACTTGTGTCTCTAACCCAAATCTTTTCCCAGCACTTCCTAATCCCACTCCCTCCTGAGAGCACCACTTAGATATTTAATAGGTGTCTCAAATTTAATATGTCTAAAAATGAACTCTTGACCCCCTCCATCCCCCATCTGCCCTGTCAATAGGCTTATCTGAGACTTTTCCCCATCTCAGTTCACAGCTACTCATTCCAGTTGTTCAAAACCAAAGTCAGTCAAAAACCTTGGAATAATCCTTTTCTCTTCTTTTTTTTTCACACCCCATATCAGCAAGTACTGTCAGCTCCTACTTGCCAAATGAATCCCGAATTCAGACACTTCTCACTACCCCTGCTGCTACCACTCCAGACCAGACCACCAACGTCTCTCATCAGGACACTTGCTGCCACCCCTTACCTGGTCTCCCTCCTTCCACACTATTCTACAGTCTAGGCTTGTCACAGCATCAAGAGTGAGCCACATCACATTGCCCTTCTACTCAAAAGCCTCCAGTTACTTCCTTTTTACTCCCAGAAGCCTCCCTGCAGCCTCTGAGGCTCACAGCATACCCAACTATTTGTATGCCCTCACCGCCTGCTGCTCTCCCATCTATGCTGCTTCAGGCACTCCAGCCTCCTCCCTGTTCCTCAAACATACCAAGCATAAGCCCCTCAGAACCTTTATGCTCACTCTTCTGTCTGCCTGGAATGTTCCACCAGACAGCTAAATGTTCACATATTGCCTCATAAGAAAGAAGCCTTCTCTGACAACACTATGTGTGACAGCAACCCACCCTGTCTGACCACTGCCTCTCCCCTTTACCCTCCATTCTATTTCTCAGAATGCCCATTATTACCACCTGATATATTATGTATCTACTTAGTGGGGGTTTTCAATAATTTGTTCATTTCCCCCATCAGAATCAGGCTTTTTGACAGCAAGAACTTTATTTTTTTCACTATTAGATCTCCAGCACCTACAATGTGCCGAGAATGTGATAGGCACTTAATGCTTATTTATTTATTCACTGAATGAATGAATGATTGGCATTGGGACATCATGAAAGTTTACTGACAGACATAAGTAAATAAGTAAGTTAACTGGTAGAAATAGGTATGAATAATGCCATCATATTCATATATAATATGCTTATATCTGTGGAAAATTTAGTCCTTGTATACCAACTATGGCCCTCTCAACTCATAATTCACATCAATAAAAAATTTAGGTACAGGCCAGGCACGGTGGCTCAAGCCTGTAATCCCAGCACTTTGGGAGGCCGCGGCGGGTGGATCACAAGGTCGAGAGATCGAGACCAACCTGGTCAACATGGTGAAACCCCGTCTCTACTAAAAAATACAAAAAATTAGCTGGGCATGGTGGCGCGTGCCTATAATCCCAGCTACTCAGGAGGCTGAGGCAGGAGAATTGCCTGAACCCAGGAGGCGGAGGTTGCGGTGAGCCGAGATCGTGCCATTGCACTCCTAGCCTGGGTAACAAGAGCAAAACTCCGTCTCAAAAAAAAAAAAAAAAAAAAAAATTAGGTACAAATGATGCTTTCTGGTCATATTCATTCATTCAATAGCTATTCTATTTGGACTAATCAGACATTATCCTCACATCAAATCTAAGAACCGAAAACATTACTTAAAGCTTCTCTTTCACCTGCCTCCTTTTGCCATGTCTAGTAAAATTAATTAGCTTCACAGATACCCTCTGTAGACAAACTCCTTAACTTTTTTCTTTCTAACATACAAAAACATTCCCAAACATGGTTTGATTCCCACCAAAAATGTAACAAAATGGTGGGGGGGGGGGTCTGATAACTTGAGAAATGCAGGGCAGGAGTGATTAATGAAAAAACATCCATCTTTTTTCCTTCTCAGAGGTGTGATTAAAGACAGCAACAAAGACAAATTGGACTACATTGCCTACATGGATGATATCGCTGCTTGCATAGGCACAAAGCCCAGCATCCCACTTCTGTTCCTCAAGGATCCCAGACTAGCTTGGGAAGTTTTCTTTGGACCATGTACTCCTTACCAGTACCGCCTCATGGGCCCTGGAAAATGGGATGGAGCCAGAAATGCCATCCTGACCCAGTGGGACAGAACACTGAAACCTTTACAAACTCGAATCGTTCCTGATGCCTCCAAGCCTGCTTCCATGTCACATTATTTAAAAACCTGGGGAGCACCTGTCCTACTTGCCTCTCTTCTACTTATCTGTAAGTCTTCACTTTTCTTGAAATTGGTGAGAGATAAACTACAGGTCAGAATGTCCCCTTACCTAGTAAGTCTTTGGCGAGGATGAACCTGATTGGTTCTGAGGGCTGTACCAAGTTGTGCTAATTCTATCTCCAAATATCTTGTGCATCCCTCTTCAGCTCTCCATCACAACTGCTGTAAGCCAAATTCAGGTCTAGCCATCTCTTTTCTGAATTATTGTATTGTCTTCTTTATTTCAGTACCTTCTTTCTTGCCACCCTTTCCAATGCATTTTTTACCCTGCTACTTCAGTGATTATTCTAAAATAATTAAATGTGATATGGTTTGGCTGTATCTCCACCCAAATCTCATCTTGAATTGTAGCTCCCATAATTCCCATGTCATGGGAGGTAATTGAATCATAGGAGCAGGTCTTCCCCCATACTGTTCGCATGGTAGTGAATAAGTCTCATGAGATCTGACGGCTTTATAAATGAGAGTTCACCTGCACAAGCTCTCTCATGTCTGCCATCATGTAAGATGTGTCTTTGCTCCTTCTTCGCCTTCCACCATGATTGCGAGGCCTCCCAGCCATGTGGAACTGTGTGTCTGTTAAACCTCCCTTCCTTTATAAATTACCCAGTCTCAAGTATGTCTAGCAGCATGAGAATAGACTAATACAATATGGTTTATTATTCTAAAGTAAATATATGATTTATAAGTATACAGGAAGCTCTGATTCCCATGAAGTTCCTGGTAGGAACAAAATGGCAATCAAATTAATTTGTAGAAAAATTTTTTTCTCTTAGAGACAGAGTCTTCACTCTGTCACCCAAACTGGAACACAGTGGTGCAATCATAGTCCACTGCAGCCTTGAAATCCTGGGCTCAAGCTATCCTCCAACCTCAGCCTTCTGAGTAGCTGGGACCATGCCTGGCTATTTTTTTTTTTTTTAAGTTTTTTTTTTTTTTTTTTTTTTGAGACAGAGTTTCACTCTTGTTACCCAGGCTGGAGTGCAATGGCGCGATCTCGGCTCACCGCAACCTCCGCCTCCTGGGTTCAGGCAATTCTCCTGCCTCAGCCGCCTGAGTAGCTGGGATTACAGACACGCGCCACCATGCCCAGCTAATTTTTTGTATTTTTAGTAGAGACGGGGTTTCACCATGTTGACCAAGATGGTCTCGATCTCTTGACCTCGTGATCCACCCACCTCGGCCTCCCAAAGTGCTGGGATTACAGGCTTGAGCCACCACGCCCGCCCTTTTTTTAAGTTTTTTTGTAGAATTAGTGTCTTACTATTTTCTTTTTTTTTTTTCTTAAAAAAAAAAAAATAGGGATAGGGCCTCACTATGTTGCCCAGGCTAGTTTCAAGCTCCTGAGCTCAGTCATTCTTCCTCAGCCTCCCAAAGTGCTGGAATTACAGGCATGAGTTATCATGCCCAGCCTATTGTTTTTTTAAGATCCCAGATTTTGAACTCTTGGGTTCAAACAATTCTCCCCTCCACCTCCCAAGTTGCTGGGATTACAGACATGGGCCACCATGCCTGCCTGGAAATTTTAATATAGAGATTATTTAAAAAGTTATGGGCAGAGTATAGGAAGCTCATAAAGATAATGAAACACTCCCAGACTTGTAACAATCGGTACTTCTACTATCCAAAGACCTAATGAGGCAAGAAGAGAAAGCAATTTCTAAAGAGAGAAAGCAAGCACTGCATAGAGAGCCACCTAACAAGAGCAACGACTTCAGCTTAATGACAAAGGCAGGTGCACAATGGCTACAAAAGTAGAGATCCGGGGAAATAAATTATCTAATTTTACTCTTCCCTTTCTCTGATTCCTCGATAGTGCTCCCCAATGTCCAAACTCAAATGAAAGTCAGAAGGCAAGGTTGCCAACAGATTTTATCCACAGAGGTCAGGCTCCTAGGGCACAGAGCAGAGCAAAGATGATGGAGAGAATATATGGAGAGGCACAAAAAAGGGATCCAGTTTAAGCATGCCTCCCATATAAAATCCTCCATTTTCTATCTTGATTAGAGATAATAGTCCTTGGCTGGGCACGGTGGCTCACACCTGTAATCCTAGCACTTTGCGTATCTGAGGCAGGTGGATCACTTGAGGTCAGGAGTTCAAGACCAGCCTGACCAACATGGTGAAACCTTGTCTCTACTAAAATCAGACAGGTGTGGTAGTGTTTACCTGTAATCCCAGCTACTCAGGAGTCTGAGGCAGGAGAATCACTTGAATCCAGGAGACAGAGGTTGCAGTAAGCTGAGATCACATAACTGCACTCCAGCCTGGGTGACAGAGCAAGACTTTGTCTCAAAAAAAAAAAAAAAAAGAAGAAGCGATAATAGTCCAAACTCCTTAGCCTAACATAAAGGGCCCTTCATGATCTGAGTCCCTTAGCCCAGGTCAGCCGAATGCCTGTTATTTCAAATCCTCCCATCAGCACTACCAAACTATCAAGGGTGTCATAGCTCCTCCCTTTGTCATCGGCACACAAATCTATGCCATGCCTGAATGGTGAGCTTCTATTTATCTTTCAGGAGAGCTCAATGCTCTTATTCTGTGCACCCTTACCTAAATCCTCAAAGCAGAAATGCTCACCCAGGTGTACCAGCTGCACCTTGTGTATGTTCTGGTACTGCTCTTTTCTTACTATAGTATTGTTTTATTTTTGTCTGTCACCTAACAAATGGTGAGTCCCTGAAAGGAATCGTATCATGTTCATCTGAAACACTGCCTGATAACAAAGCATTGCTAAAGAACCATTTGGTGACTTGACAATGGCTTTGCCGGCTGGCACTCTTTATTTACCGTCTTCTACCTATATTCCTCTCTCCACCAACATGGTACATTACCTCAGCCTTGCAAACAAAGAACAGTCCACCAACAGCTAATGTTAAACGACAATCCATGTGGCAATTAGAAGAAATAGAACGATGCAGTCTAGTACTTGCACAGGAGCCAAGTACACTGGTTAGGAGCACTAACTTGAGAATGAGAACTCAACTCATTAGCTATGAAGTCTTGGCCATGTAACTCAGCCTCTCTAAGACTTAGGGTCCTCATCTGGAAAACAGTGGTTATAATAGTACCTACCTTACTGTGAACATTAGTGAGAAAATGCAAGGTGTTTGGTCCAGCTGCAGAATCAGAGGACATTTTCTATTCTCTGAATTAAAGGACCTGAAACTACCGCCAAATCCCGTTCCTTGTTGTGTAATCTGGAGGCATGCCCTTTACTCTCCCTGGATTCTCTGGCAGCACTTTCCAGTTACAGTTACTTTTGTTGTTGTTGTTGTTGCTGCTGCTGCTACTGCTGCTGCTGCTAAGCAGACATATTTAATGATACATTGGTCTTCACAGAGATGACTACAGAGACTTTTACTCTATAATCCAGTAGTATACAACCATGCATCACAGACCAATTAGCCAGACGTAAAATAAATTAGCTTCTTACCACAACCACCCTATAAACATTACAATTACTCTCTCCAAAATGAACCTAATCTTACATGAAAACACCTACTGCAGGGGAACCAGAAACCTAGCTATGTGGCCAAAACCAAAAACTGAAGGAAAAATTGCAATTCACTGGTCAGTCGGTGAAAGCAAAGAAAATTCAGTGCCCTTCACTGTGTTGCTTTGATGTTACTTGTGTTCTTTTTGTCCCTCTTCTTCAGCCCACCCATGTTAGTTCATGGTGGGTTTGAATAAGCCATTCAGAACTTACTTCTTTGGAGCTCACCACAGTGCTAATCTTTTTCCCGTCAGCAGCTCTTAACAGACACCAGTCTAAAGACTCAAAGTCCACAGCAGAACCTTTCTTTAGAATGGATATGGTTCAACCACCAGACTTCTTCAAGGTGATATACATGCTACCTGGCGATTGGCACTTCTGGAAGAGTCTGATCAGCTCTGTTAGGAACTGCTTGCTCTCCAGTAGCACCATCATGGTGACACAAGCTCAGTAATGTCTGCATAAGGCCCTAGCAGTTATAGCCTGAAGCTTCGCCTTAGGATCACTGCTTTGTTCTTGAGTCCCCATAGCCACGGCTGCTAACACCACCACCACCACCACCACTCATGTTCCACCCAGATGGAAACTGTAGACTATGAGGCAAACATTAGCAAAGCAGAAGCTTTTCTCAAGCATTAGGAGTGAACCTCCTGGTATAACTAGTCGATGTGTCTAGGTTTTTGCTGACAATAACTTCCCAGTAGAAGCAATAAAGCAATATCTAATTCTAAATCTTCAAAAACAACTAAAGGTTTTGTTTAGTTGTCTTCTTAGAGAGGCTAAGTCACATGTCCAAGACTTCATAGCTAACAAATTGAGTTCTCATTCTCAAGTTAGTGTTTTTTGTTTGTTTGTTTGTTTGTTTGTTTGTTTTAATAAAGACAGGGTTTCACCATGTTGGTCAGGCTGGTCTTGAACTCCTGACCTCAGGTGATCTGCCCGCCTTGGCCTCCAAAGTGCTTGGATTACAGGTATGAGCCACCACGCCCAGCCTCAAGTTAGTGTTTTTAACCAGTGTACTTGGCTCTTGTGTGAGTACTAGAGTGTATAGTTCTACTTCTCTAATTGACCCATGGATTGTCATTTACTTATAACATTAGCTGTTAGTGAACTGTTCTTGTTTGTTTGGAAAGCCGAGGTAATTTATCATGTTGGCACAAGACAAGAAACAAGAGACTAACAGGAGCAATGTCATATTTAAGCTATCTGTGTTCCTGAAGGAGAAAGCAGAACTGAGGGCCTAACAAAGGAGGCCCTGCTTTATTAGCTCATTATAACTTAAATCTATAAAGTTTCTATTTTTAATTTGTATGAATTTTCAAGCCAGACATGGTGGCTCACATCTGTAATCCCAGCACTTTGGGGGGCCAAATTTCTTGAGCTCAGAGTGAGTTCAGAGTTCGAGACCAGTCTTGGCAACATGATGAAACCCCGTCTGTACAAAAAATACACAAATTAACCAGGTGTGATGGGGCACACCTGTAGTCTCGGCTACTCAGAAAGCTGAAGTAAAAGGATGGCTTGAGCTCGGCAGGTGGAGGTTGCAGTGAGCTTTAATTGCACCACTGCACTCCAGCCTGGGTGACAGAGTGAGACCCTATCTTTAAAAAAAAAAAAAAAAAATCAGATGATAAATCAAAGACACAGAAGTTAAGTAATTTGGTACAAAAAGCAAGTAAGAGACGGAACATGAATCTGAACCCAAATATATGCAACCCTAAAGCCCAGGATGCCTCACTAGCTGCCTTGAGAGACAACTCCCCTATTTGCGTCTTACTACCTCAATTGGCTCGCATGGAAGCCCCAACCTCTTCCAGGAAGCCTTCTCCCTTCCCACTCCTGCTTCCTCTGCACCACTGTACACCTTGAACAGCCTTCTAAATATTTTACTTATCACAGCTCATGACACAGTTCTCGAGGAGCAAATGGTACTAGAAAAAGCCCACTGTAAGTGAGCCTATTTTAAATGAGAATCAAAACTTCTTAGTTAACAGTATGGAAAAAAATTAGGTTTGGTCAAAACTTCAACTTGAAAAATAAAACCAGAAATTAGGAAAATAGGTTTGCTTTACTGTTTATTTAACCAGGTTAGATTACAATTGGAACTATGTACCTATGGGAACTGCCTAATGGTCTGACAATTCATACGACAGCAAGGTAAAACGTTCTCCACTTCATACAACAAATGTCTTTACTTCCCATTTGACTTTCAAAGCAAGATTCTGATTGTCCTTTTTTAAAAAATATTCGGTCTGTGTCATCCGCCATTTTGCGAGAAGCAAGGTGGCCTCCACGTTTCCTGAGCGACTTCTTCGCCTCTGCCTCGACCGCCCCTCGACCACAGACAAGTCTCGAGATCGGTTCCGGAGCCGCGGCGGTGGCCTTGTGGCTTCCACAGGCGCGGAGGAGGCGGCGGCCGCGGCGGCCTCCAGGACTTCCGTTCCCCGCCGCCCCGCGAGAGCCTGAGCCAGAGCCGCGGCCCGGTGGGTCCCGGCCGGGGCCAGAGCGGCGCTAAGCCTCCGTGCGATCCCGCCACCGCATCCACACCAGCAGCAGCAGCAGACAGCGCCGCGGCCGCCGCCGCCGCAGCAGCCGCCGCCTCAGCCGCCGCCACCGCAGCAGCCGCCGCCGCAGCAGCCGCCACCGCAGCAGTCGCCGCCGCATCCACAGCCGCATCAGGCAGCCGCCGCCGCCGCCGCCGGCGCAGGACTCCGCCAAGCCCGCGGCTGCTCGGGGACCCGGCCCCGCTCCCGGACTCGGCAGCGCGTCGCCTGCCTCCAGCGCGGCCCCGCCCGCCACTCCGCCTACCTCGGGGGCCCGGCCAGGGTCCCGGCCAGGCCCGACCCCGCCGCCCGCAGTCACCTCGGCCCACCTCCGGGACACCGCCACCCAGGCCTCCCTACCACAGCTCCTCAGGCCGGAGGCCCGGGCCGGGGTCCGGGGTCTAAGCAGAGCCCAGGCCCGGGCGGTCCCAAGGGCGGCGAAAGCACTCTCAGCGGCCTAAGCACTCTCAGCGGCCACCCCAAGCCACCGGAACGAGGCGGTGGGGAGCCCCGCGGGGGCCACCTGCCTCACCCGCCCTACCTCCGGCAGCACCACCAGGGTCCCTGGCCCAGCGGACCGGGCGGCCGCAGCCAGAGGAAGATCTCAGACTTGGAGAGGTTTAAAGCCAACTTACCTCTCTTGAGGAGGCCTGGATAGAAAACTTCTACACAGGGATGTTGGTCGTTGGGAATCTACCTACCCATATCACGGAGGATGAATCAAAAGACTATTTGCTAAATATGGAGAACCAGGAGAAGTTTTTCTCAACAAAGGCAAAGAATTCGAATGTATTAAGCTTGAATCTAGAGCTTTGGTGAAATTGCCAAAGCTGAACTCAATGATACACCCATGAAAGGGAGACAGCTTCGAGTTTGCTTTGCCTCACTGCTGTTGCCCTTTCTGTTCCTAATCTTTCAACTTACATTTCCAATGAACTGCTGGAAGAAGCCTTTAGCCAGTTTGGTCCTATTGAAAGGGCTGCTGTAATGGTGGATGATCGTGGAAGATCCACAGGGAAAGGCATTGCTGAATTTGCTTCTATACCAGCAGCAATAAAGGCATTTGAACAATGCCGTGAAGGTGTTTTCTTACTGACAACAACTCTTGGTCCAGTCATTGTAGAACCACTTGAACAACTGATGAAGATGGTCTCCCTGAAAAACTTGCCCAGAAGAATCCAATGTATCAAAAGGAGAGAGAAACCCCTCCTCATTTTGCCCAGCATGGCACATTTGAGTACGAGTATTCTCAGCGATGGAAGTCTTTCAATGAAATAGAAAAACAGCAAAGGGAACAAGTTGAAAAAAACATGTAGGATGCAAAAGACAGATTGGAAAGTGAAATGGAAGATGCCTGTCATGAACATCAGGCAAATCTTTTGCACCGATATCTGATGAGACGAAAGGAAAAATTAAGACATGTGGAAGAACTTCACAATCAAGAAATGCAGAAACGTAAAGAAATGCAATTGAGGCAAAAGAAGGAACGATGTAGAAGAGAGTAAAAGATGATAATTCGTCAACTTGAGATGAAAGAACAAATGAGGCGCCAAAGAGGAGAAAGTTACAGCGGAATGGGCTACATGGATCCAAGAGAAAGAGACATGAGAATGGGTGGTGGAGGAACAATGAACATGAGAGATCCCTATGGTTCAGGAGGCCAGAAATTTCCACCTCTAGGTGGTGGTGGTGGCATAGGTTATGAATTTAATCCTGGAGTTCCACCAGCAACCATGAGTAGTTCCATCATGGGAAGTGACATGCATAGTGAACACTTTGGGCAGGGAGGTGTGGAGCCTGTGAGTGGACAGGGTCCTAGAAGAATGGGGCCTGGAACTCCAACAGGATATGGTAGAGGGAGAGAAGAAGCCCAAACAAAAAACCCTGATTTTAGATGTGATATCTAGGCTTTCATTCCAGTTTGTTTTTGTCTTTTGTTTAGATACCAATCTTTTAAATTCTTGCATTTTAGTAAGAAAGCTACCTTTGTGCTCACTTCGGCAGCACATATACTAAAATTGGAACCATACAGAGAAGATTAGCATGGCCCCTGAGCAAGGATGACATGCAAATTCGTGAAGCGTTCCATATTTTTTAAAAAGAAAAAGAAAAAGAAAGCTACCTTTTTATGGATGTTAGCAGTTTGTTGACCTAATATTTGTAAATGGTCTGTTTGGGCAGGTAAAATTATATAATGCAGTGTTTGAAACAGGATTTTTTTTTCTTTTTTACTGAATAATGTCTCAAGTTATGGCAGGGTACTTTGTGCCACTGAATTTCCAAAGTGTACCAATTTCTTTTTACTGCACTTCAAATAAACTGAAAAATAGTTATTTAAAAAACCACAGTTTTCTAAGGCTGGGCGCGGTGGCTCAAGCCTGTAATCCCAGCACTTTGGGAGGCCGAGGCGGGTGGATCATGAGGTCAAGAGCTCAAGACCATCCTGGTCAACATGGTGAAACCCCGTCTCTACTAAAAATACAAAACATTAGCTGGGCATGGTGGCGCGTGCCTGTAATCCCAGCTACTCAGGAGGCTGAGGCAGGAGAATTGCCTGAACCCAGGAGGCGGAGGTTGCAGTGAGCCAAGATCGCGCCATTGCACTCCAGCCTTGGTAATAAGAGCGAAACTCCGTCTCAAAAAAAAAAAAAAACCACAGTTTTCATTGGTTTTGCCAAGTAACTCAAATTTTAATTCTTTTGTATTTACATCATTCTCTTTTGAATTTCCTGTCTTGTCATTATGCTTGCCAATTCTATCTCATTCTTCTATTTCCCTTTTTTTTTAGACAGTCCCGCTCTATCACCAGGTTGGAGTGCAGTGGCGCAATCCCAGCCGACTGCAACCTCTGCCTTCTGGTTTCAAGCAATTCTCCTGCCTCAGCCTCCCGAGTAGCTGGGACTATAGGTACGCACCACCACACACGGCTAATTTTTTGTATTTTTAGTAGAGACGGGGTTTCACCATGTTGGCCAGGCTGGTCTCAATCTGTTGACCTCGTGATCCACCTGCCTCGGCCTCCCAAAGTGCTGGGATTGCAGGCATGAGCCACCGCGCCCGGCACTTTATTCTCATGTTTCTTACATGATTTAACTCTGCAATATCTAGATTTGCCAATGGCTTAGTAGTTCTCCAGTATTACCATCATCAATTTCATAACATTTTTCTTAGCTATAGGTGATATTGTTTGGCTGTATCCCCACCCAAATCTCATCTTGAATGGTAACTCCACAATTCTCACATGTTGTCGGAGGAACCTGGTAGGAGGTGATTGGATTGTGGGAGTGGGTCTTTCTCAGGCTGTTCTCTTGATGGTGAATGAGTCTCACAAGACCTGATGGTTTTAAAAACAAGGGTTTCCCTGTGCAAGCTCTCTCTTTGCTTGCTGCCATTCATGTGACTTGCTTCTTCTCGCCTTTGGCCATGATTGTGAGGCCTCCCCAGCCTTGTGAGACGTAAGTCCATTAAACCTCTTTCTTTTGTAAATTGCCCAGTCTCAATTATGTCTTTACCAGCAGCGTAAAAGCAGAGGAATACAGCAGGATATGTAACTTTACTTTGCTGTTGATTTGCATTGTATGGTCTGCATTATCAGACAATCATCAGAGACTGACCACAAATACATTTATGAAATATATTTATGGAAATGATATCCAGAGTAGACTGTACTGTTGAACAGTACTGTTGGATATCTGTTTGAGGAAAAATAAACTTAACCAAAGAAGTGAAAGACCTGTACACTGAAAACAACTAAATATTGATGAAAGAACCAAAGACACAAATAAATTAAAAGCTACCTGTGCTCATGAATTTAAAGAATAAATATTGTAAAAATGTTCATACTAGTCAAAACAAACTAAAAATTCAATGCACTCCTCCAATGACATTTTTTCACAGAAATAGAAAAAACAATTCTAAAATTCATATGGAATCACAAAAGACCCCAAGTAGCCAAAATAATCTTGATAAAGAAAAACAAAGCTGGAGGCATCATGCTACCTGATCTTAAAATGTATTTACAAAGCTAGACACACAAGTCAATGAAACAAAAACATACATACCAGTCAATGAAAACAAAAAGCCCCCCAAAAACAGACATACTAGTCAATGAAACACCTGGATCCATTTAGATTAAGTAAATTTACTGAGGCTCCAGAAGAAGGTCTTCAGGACTCAGACCTTAGTTATAGATTAAAAGAAGTTAATCAATTATGTCTTTAGATGAATGCACACTTACACGTAAACATATAGCTTAGAAGGTATATAAGCTCTAAAAAACCTTGTAGTTTTGAGTTGGTCTGACAATAATTTCCAGGCCTTCTCCCTATAACCAGTCACAGAAATAAAAACTCTCTTCCTCCCCAGTTCACCTGCATCTTGTTATTGGGCCACAAGAAATAGCAACCTGACCCTCAGTTTGATCCAGGAATAACAGGAAGCAGAAAGATTGAGTGGTTTTGTTGCGACCTATCACAAAATCAGTATCAGTACTGTGATGGTTATCTTTTTTTTTTTTTTCCGAGACAGGGTCTCACCCTGTCACCCAGGCCAGAGTGCAGTGGTGCAATCTCAGCTCACTGCTACAACTTCTGCCCCCTGAGTTCAGGTGATTCTTGTGCCTCAGCCTCCCAAGTAGCTGGGACTACAGACACGTGCCACCACACCAGGCTAATTTTTGTATTTTTAGTAGAGACAAGGTTTCACCATGTTGGCAGGCCGGTCTTGAACTCCTGGCCTCAAGTGATCCACCCACCACAGCCTCCCAAAGTGCTAAGATTACTGGCGTGAGCCACCACACCTGACCTGTGGTAGTTATTCTAACAAACCTCTGTGTGCACCTGGTGGTAGAGAACCCAGGGTAGTATTGCTCTGACAATGTAACAGTGGATTATTTTAACACCATTTCATCATTTATCTCTCCTTGGAATTAAATTTGAAGTTTCGGCAGTGAGTCTCCTTTCAAAAGTTTGTTCAGATTCCAGTTCATTTCTACTTAGAGCTTTCTGCCTACAAAGGCAAATTTCTGAGTTATCTGAGTGACTCATGACTCATCTCAGGCGAGTGGTAACAAAAGAGAAACAGGAATAATTATGTTAACAAGGGCCAGAGACACACCTATAGGTGATAAGACTGATAACAAGCCAGTGTCTTTGTAGAACATTTAATTTCTGAAAACATCACATAACATTCGGGCTCATCTGGTATTTTAACATGGTGTTTCACTTTGGCATGGTCTGTTCTTAAGTGACTAAAGAACTCCTGGAGAGAGATCCAAGATGGCTGATCACTAGCAGCTCGGGATTGTAGCTCCCACTGAAAGCGCAAAGAAGGAGAGGACGCCACACCTTCACATGAATTCTTGTTGCTCACGCACCAGGAGATTCCCAGCGAAGGAGCCCCACGGGTCGCCAGCGCGACTCTTGTGACCAGCGAGGCGGTTTTGCCGGCGCCTCGGAGCGTGGGTTCTCGGTGCAGAGTCGGAAAAGCACCATCAATCTTAACGCCGCTGATTTGGTCGGTGCAGTGGGTTGCTCGGATTTCGGCGCTGAGAATCAGTAAGTTGGACGTCCACTCAGAAACCCAATTACAAAGACGGTAATTATAAAGACCACAGATGGATGGATCTACAACGAAGGGAAGAAAACGGTCAAAAAAGGCTGAGAATACCCAAGATCAGAACGCCTCTTCCTCAGCAGGGGATCCCAGTTCCTCATCAGCAACGAAACAAGGCTTGATGGAGAACGAGTGGGTTCCAATTACAGAAGCAGGCTTCAAAACGTGGATAATAAGAAACTTCTGTGAATTAAAAGAACTTGTTATAACACAATCTAAAGAAACTAAGAACTTTGAAAAAAGGTTTGACGAAATGTCAACAAGAATACAAAATTTAGAGAGGAAAATAAGTGAATTGATGGAGCTGAAAAACACAATACGAGAACTACGTGAAGTATGCACAAGTTTTAACAGCCGAATTGATCAAGCAGAAGAAAAGATATCAGAGGTCGAAGATCAACTCAATGAAATAAAACAAGAAGACAAGACGAGAGAAAACAGGATAAAAAGGAACGAGCAAAGTCTCCAAGAAATATGGGACTATGTGAAAAGACCTAATCTACGCTTGATAGGTGTACCTGAATGTGACGAAGAGAATGAATCCAAGCTGGAAAATATGCTTCAGGACATTATTCAGGAAAATTTTCCCAGCCTAGTAAGGCAGGATAATATTCAACTCCAGGTAATACAGAGAACACCACAGAGATATTCCTCAAGAAGAGCAACTCCAAGGCACATAATCGTCAGATTCACCAGGGTTGAAATGAAGGAGAAAATACTAAGGGCAGCCAGAGAGAAAGGTCAGGTTACCCACAAAGGGAAGCCTATCAGACTTACAGCAGATCTCTCAGCAGAAACCCTACAAGCCAGAAGAGAGTGGGGGCCAATATTCAACATCCTTAAAGAAAAGAACTTTCAACCCAGAATTTCACATCCAGCCAAGCTAAGCTTCACATGTGAAGGAAAAATAAAGTTTTTTGTGAATAAGCAAGCACTCAGAGATTTCATCACCACCAGGCCTGCTTTGCAAGAGCTTCTGAAAGAACCACTACACATATGAAAGGAACAAACAGTATCAGCCTTTCTAAAAAAATTATCAAAAAGAGCATCAATATAATGAAGAATTTACATCAACTAATGGACAAAATAGCCAGCTAATGACAGTATTAAACTCACATATATTATTATTAATTCTAAATTTAAATTGACTAAATCCCCCAATCCAAAGACAGGCAATTTGAATAAAAAACTAAAACCCATCAGTATGCTGCATCCAGATCCATCTCACATTCAAGGATACACAAAGACTCTAAACAAGGGATGGAGAAA